ACTAAAACAAAAATAATAAATTACTCATTCTTTTGAATAAACAATTCGAACAGTAAATAATCCCTCTAATTTCCCCCAATCAAACACACCTTGAGGTAATTTTAGCCCAAGAAAGCTATCCTCGCTTTTTGGAAGATGGGTTTATCTTTGGCAAGCATGGTCAAGTTTACTTGAGCCAGTCTTGAAAGTAAAAAAACATCGCCCAAATGGTGTCTGTGGTTATCCGAATGACTATACCTAATTTCTTTGCTTTTAAGTTACCTACAAGGCCCCATATAGCTCTAGCATATAAAGGCTCCACATAGCTCTAGCTCTAGGGATCACTTTTGTTCTTGGATAATGATAGAGAGTTTTAGCTATTCGTAGCAGTTATAGAGATACCAAAAAAGATAAACAAGACCTAGAATCAAGTCAACTGTTTTTTTTTTAAAACTTATTAATCTATATCTATATGTTTAGTCAAGCTTAGTTAAACTAGTAAAGCATTTCAAGTTTCCACTTAACACCATTCAAGGCGTTTTGTTTGATTTTTTTGAATTAAATTTTTTTAAAATTAAATTTTTTAGCTTTCGTATTTTTTTTATTTTTAGTAAATATTTTTAAAATTTTAAATATTTTTTTAACTTTTTTAGATGCACCTTACTTAGATGTATCTAAAAAGTAAAAAATTTATGAAAAAATATTTTTAAAAATTAATAAATACATAAAAATATAAAAAATGTACTGAATTTTTATATTTTTTTGTATTTTTGATATTTAGTGAATTTTTAAAAGTTTTTTTTCAATTTTTATTTTTTATTTTTTAGGTATATTTATGTTAGGTATGACTAAAAATAAAAAAAAAATTACTCAAAATATAAAAAAAATTCAGTAAAAATAAAAAAATACGAAAAATAAGAAAATAAAATTTTATGAAAAGTATTTTTAAAAAGTGGTAACTAAGCATAGTGACTCTTGTGTAAGGATTTTATAGTGATCCTATCAATAAGGGAAATTAATATTACCACTTGTTTATAAATATATTTAAGTATTATAAGTGTTATTTTTTAGTTCTATTTATTTTTGTCATTAGTTAACTTTCTTTAAAAATTATAAATTTTCTTTACTTTTCATGTACGTCTTGATTAGATGATTCTAAAATTTTTATTTTTTTTTGAAAAAAATACAGAAGACAAAAAATAATCAGTTTTTTTTTGGGATAAAATTTGGCGTATTTTTGTTTTTCCGAACTTTTTAAAAATTGATTAGTCTAGCTGAGATGGATTTTAAAAGTACACATTTTTTTGACTCAAAATTTAAACAAATTCAAATTACAAAAAAATTGAAAATTTTAAGCAACTTTTTAGTTTTAGCTAATTTAAAAGTAACTAGGGAAAATTTAGATTCCAATTTCAACCAAGTTATAAATCCCAGTTTTAGCAAAAAAAAATAGCCAAATTATATATCCCAGTTTTAGCAAAAAAAATAGCCAAATTATATATCCCAGTTTTAGCCAAAAACTAGCATTTTTTTTTCTCAATATGTTTTGATATATAAGTAATATATACAAATTGGATGATCGGAATATTTTGTGAAAAATAATTAAAGCACTTTTTTTATATTTTGGAGACTACATTAACATAATTTTAAATATTAAGAATTAAAATGACACAAATATCTTATTTTAGAGATTAAGGAGTAATTTTTTTACTTGGATTTTCATATTTACCCCCTATAGACAAAGTTTGATTGTGAAACCAAATCGAATTACATTTTATATATTGAGATTAAATTGACAAGAATTCAATATTAGAGATGAAAATGATTTCGTAAAATAGATTGTTTAAATTTAATTATATTTACCATTCATTTTATAAAATAAAATACGATTTATTTTTGTATTTATAATTTTGTGATGAAATTAATTTTTTTACATAGATGACCTTTATTGTCGGATTTATTAGAGAGACGGTTTAAATTATCAATGCAAGTATAAATTGAAACCTACAAAAAAAAATATATATATATATATATATAAACAAATATAACGAGATAAAATATAGAAGGGGGTTTATCCATACAACACCAACGCTTTGGGAACTAAAAAACTAATTACCCATTGTCCTTTATTATCTTTAATTTAAACTCTAGCATATCCAATCAAAAATTACTTTTAAAATATAGAAACTAATCACAAAACGGACATAATTTTTTTATAAAACGTGAGTCCCATCCTTTTACAAGTTGAGGGATGGTTTTTTTAAGTTTATTGTGTAGATTAAAGCATATCACTATGTTTGTGAGGCTCATCGTGAGTCTTGTTTCGATAATCCGAATCGTTCAATATGTAGAATTTGTTGAATATTTCATATCTACAAAAAATCACATTGATTGAAACACATTTTTGTTCATAATTTATTTTTAAAATTACATTTACTATTGATAAAAATATATTTCGATAACTATTGATATCCAATCAATTTAATTTTTTCAGACATAAAATGCTTAACAAATTTTACATATTAAACCATTCAAATAATCAAAACAAAACCTATAATAAACTACATAAACTCAATGATATATTTTGATCCATACAATACAAGAGAAGCTCTTCTTTGTAAGTTCTATATACATATATGAGACTCCAATTTTGTGATCGCGCTACTCAAACTTGACTGATGCCCACCCTGCCATCTAAGTCAATGCCAGGTGAGATTAGTAGACCTCACCCAATCAGATGGTGCCAAGCCAACCAAGCCGATATGTGCATGGCTGTTTAGAAATAGGGCAAATTACATATACCCCTCGAGGTTTGGCTAAATTACAAATATCCCCTTGAAATTTGAGAAATTACAAATTCCTCCCTGAATGCTATATTTGCATAACAAATTAGGGGGTAATTTGTTATGAAATTTAAACCTCAGGGGACAAATTGTTATAAAAATACAAACCTCAGGAGGCGGGATTTAATTTCTGAAACCTCAGGGGTATCTATAATTTAGCCAAACTTCAAGAGAGGTATATGTAATTTGTCCTTAGAAATTTTGTTTATTTATTTATTATTATTTTTTAAGTCAAGCCTATTGCATTTGCAAACTAAGCTGGCTTTTTGATTTTTGATTATTATTTATTTTAAAAATATGTACAAAATGAAAAGGCATGTCTAATTTGGAAACTTAATTTATTATTATTATTTTAAAAAATATATGTAAAAAAATGAAAAGGTAGGTCTAATTTGGGAAAGTTAAATTTTAAATTTTAATATATTTTGAATCACATCACATCTCTATTTTTTAACATTTAAAAAAAAGATTAAAAAATTAATTTTTTACCAACTTCTCAAAACAAAAAAAGCAAAAAGTCAATTTTTTTTTACTTTTAACTCAATTGTCAAAATATGACTAATTATTAGGGCATTTTCAACCATTGTTGCTATAATGTCATTGCTATTGTTATAATTTGACAATAAATAGTGTTATTTTGCCAAATTATAGCAATTGTGCTTCAATGGTCATTTGCTATTTTAGCAAATCTCAATCAACTTTCCCTAGGTGTTGTTTGGATATAAATTTTTTTGTAATTTTATTTTTGTTTATTTTTTGACTTTTGTGACATTTTTTTACCCATTTGTAAAAAAAATTATATATTTATATTATTTTCAACTAGACAAATATAAAAAAAATTAAAAAAAATAAAAAAAAATTGGAAAAAAAATTAAATATAATTTACCCCACCAAAAAATATATCACTGCATATTTAATAAATTTTTTTAACTACATATAAAAAATAAACAATCACTAATTACCCACCAACAATCATCCATCATTCACCCATCATTCATTCACTAACAACCATCAATTATTAACCGAATATTCATTCACCAACAACTACCCACTCAACAACCATCCATTATTCATCCACCCACCCAACCATCCATCATTTACCCACTCACAATTTTCTCTATAAATATAACACAATTTTCTATAATTTTCATATTCACCTATCCATCATTTTCATATCTTCTAAACTCTCTGTACCCACACAGAAGATTTTCTACAATTTTCATATTCACTTATCCATCATTTTCATATCTTCTAAACTTTATGTCCCCATACAGAAGATTTTCTACAATTTTCATATTCACCCACTCACCCATCCACCTACAATGAACAATTTGAATAAAGTCATATTCAATGGAGATTTTGATGAATCTTCATCATCATCTGATGATATCATCATGATGCAACTGTTCACAGTGCAACAACAAAAAATACAAGCGTTAAGCCTAAACCAACCAACCAACCAGACATGTTGGTTCCACAAGTGGTCGTCAATACATTAATCGTGAGAGGGTTAAAGGCGACGAACAAATTTATAGAGATTACTTTGCAAATAATCTTGTCTATCCAAAAGAATACTTCCGAAGACGTTTTTGAATGAAGCAGCCATTATTTGTTAGTATCTTACATGATATTCAACAAGTGAATGAGTATTTCATCTAAACTCGTAATACCACTGGTGCTCTTGGATTATCCAATGTACAGAAGATGACTGCAACACTTTAGATCCTACAGTATGGCGTGCATGCTGATACTGTAGATGAGTATATTAGAATCGGCAAAACTACTGCAATTATCGCCTTAAATTTTTTTACTAGATCAATTATTGTTACCTATGAAGCCGTTTACTTAAGATCCCCAAATGAAGCAGATGTCACTAGATTATTGCAAGAGGGAGAGCAACGCGGGTTTCCTGGAATGTTAGAGAGTTTGGATTGTATACATTGACGTTGGAATAAATGTCCAACTGCCCAAGCCAGTGCTTACACTAGACACTACCACAAACCAACAGTTGTATTCGAGGCAGTTGCCTCCTACGACTTGTGGATTTGGCATGCTTTCTTTGGCATGCCTGACTCTCTAAATGATACTACTATTCTTGATAGGTCGCCTTTATTTGCTAAATTAATTAGAAGACATGCCCCTGCTGCCAACTACATCATCAATAATCACGTGTATACTATGGGGTATTATCTTGCTGATGGTATCTATCCTCGTTGGGTAACGATTGTGAAAACAATATCTCAACCTCAAGGCGCAAAGAGACAACTATTTGCAAGGATGCAAGAGGCATGTCGGAAAGATGTCGAAAGGGCATTTGGAGTGCTCAAAGCACGATTAAATATTGTCAGAATTCCAACTAAAGGTTGGAGTGATGAGGATCTATACAACATCATAAAGACGTGCATTATTTTGCACAATATGATCATTGAAGACGAGCGTAATATTCCAGAAAATGAACGCAATGCAGAAGAACTTGAGACTGATACCAGTAATACCCGTTGTTAAGTGTCACGCGATCCGAATGAGGAGTATGCTCAATTTATGTCGAATCGGCAGAGGATTAGATCTACTGAAACCCATAATGCAATTCCTAATGATCTAATTGAACATTTGTGGTCCCGAGCTGGACAGTTAGATTAAGTCTGTATTTTATCTTTTTAATGATAGTTAATGTCATTTAATATCTTTTTATTATAATAAAATTATTTTCATTTAATGTCAGTTAATGTATTTTATCTTTTTATTGTCTTCATTTGAAAAAATATATTTATTTTTTTCATTATACTTTATTGAAAAAAAATTTACAAAATAAAAATTGACATTGCAAATAAAGACTAACAATTACATCAAAAATTAAACGACATTGTAAAATTTAAAAATACATTATCCCATAATTATTTATCAGGAAGTAGGGGGAAATAAAAATTTGAACTGCTCACATTTGAGGACCACTTGGCGAAAATCTCATTTTTTCACATTGTGTAATATGCTTTCATCTGAGGGTCCAAATGAGAAATGTCCGCAATCATTATTATATATTCTTCTTTTTTCATCTCAAAGTCATGTTTTTTCATCTCGAGTTCTTTCATCTCTTGTAGTGCTTGAATCATTTTTTATTCTCTTTCCTTTTTTTTCTTTTCTTTCTCAGCAAGGTATTGGTTAAATGTCTCCAACTATATGCTCATATTTTGGACTTCAATTTCAACGAGTTGATTTCTCCGAAATAATTTTTTTGTAGCTTTCCTACCCATAGGCCTTTAACCCCTCGCAGAGACACTGCCCTCACCAACAGTTGGATTGTTATCAACACTTGGAGTGTTGCCGTCTTCAAGAGAAATGCATTTATCCATAGGGGAATCGGGGGATGAATTAGGGGTAAACGCTGTGCGCATCCTTGACTTTACCGTATTCGTAGGAGTTACATCTTGCCACCTGATATTGTCTTGCAAGATTGGCCAACAATATTCAACAGAAAAATGTTTGCTTTCATCTTAATGGTATAATAGTTTTGCTTTAAGCATTTGTATCAAAAAAATTGAAGCTTTATTTAATTAGTTAATTTTTATACGATACCAGAATAAAAAACTAAACATAATAACTGAAGATGAAAACTTACTATATCAACTTGAGATATCCCACTTGAGTGAAGATTTTCGACTTGCGCTAAACACCTCCAAAATTTGTTACAACATTTCATGATTATACCCCATCGAGATAGAATAGACACTTGTGTTCTTGATTAATCATTCTGAAGCAAACAATAATTTTCGTAAATTCTCCTCCAAAAGTGAGCATACGATTGCGAATTGCCAACAATTGGGTCTTCCGAAATGTGACACCAAGATTTACAAATTGTCATATCTTCTTCAATGGTGAATGATTTTCATCTCTTTGTTTTTGATGAACCTTCCATAGTGATTGGATAAAAAAACCAAAAAGAAAATAATTTTAGAGGTTTGTTGTGAAATCAAATTTAGAGAAGAGAGGAGAAAAGAAAAATAAAATCCAAATGTTTGTTGTGAAATAAAATTGACATAGAGGGTTTCAATTTATAGAAATTCAAAATATTACCGTTTGGGGGAAATAGCCATTTGAAGATAGCTATTGTAAAAAATTAATTATTATTTTTTAAAAAATTTTAAAAAACAAACAAAGCACAGCGGCTTTTTTTATACAAATGGAGAGCATCTCCACCGTCCACGTATAAAACATCAATGGTTGAGATGATTTCTCTAGAATCATCCAACCTCCATTTCACTTGTGAAATGCACCGTTTTCCTCTCTCTCTCACTCTCACTTTGTCTTCCCTCTTCTCAAACCACTCTCTCTTATCCTCCTCCATGATTGAAATCTCTCTCTCTCTGTTTTCACTCTGTCTTCCCTCTCACTCTGTCTTCTCTCTCTTTCTATTTTCACACTTTCTCTCCCTCAACCAGTCCCTTCTTCTCCTCCATGATCGAAACGTCTTTCTCTTTCTCTCTATGAAGCTGTCTTCACTTTTCCTCTCACTCTCTCACTCTCTCACTCTCGTCCATCATCTAAAGCCCCCAATTTCCTCTCTCTGTCTCTGTCTCTGGTACAATTTCCATCTATATACATACTTATATATATGCTTTGATTTTTTGTTTATTTTTCTGGTTTTTGATGTGGATCTGAGGTGATCGCGATTTTTAAAACTCCATTCTCACGATGGCTTGAAACCGGATCTTCAAAGAACTCAAGCATCTCCAGAAGGATCTTCAAAGAACACAATCTAGTATGTTTGCTAAAATTTTCTTAATTATTTATTTTTATTTTTGTTCATCCATCTATTTTTGTTCATCTATTTATTTTATTTTGATCTTCAAAGAACTGAAGCATATTTTGGTTTGGTTTATTGTGATAATATCTATCTAATTTGGTTTGGTTTATTGTGATAATATCCATCTGATTTGGATCGACTGATTTGGTGATAAATGATTAAAAAAATAATAATAAGAGAAACAAAATTTGAGTTTGTCAAATTTATTATGAAATTTGTTAATTTGGCAACAAAATTGAAAATTAGGTTTGATTCTCTTATTTGGGTTTGATTTTGAATTTTTTGGGTTCCCTTTTCAATTCTGTTTTTATTAACTGAATTTGGTGCCAAAATCTGTTGATATTTGCTGATTTGGCAAGTTTGACAGCTACTATTCAACTTGCCAAATTTGAGAACGGATATGGCATATGTTATCTTTGGCAAGTAGAATAGCAGGCCATTGGAGACCATCTTTTTGCAATTATTGTCAAATTTTAGCTTTGGCAGGTTAAATAGCATTGGAGATGCTCTTACGACTTATTAGACTAAAAATACAGAAAATAAGTTATATAAATAAATAAATAAATAAATTTGAGAATTTTTTTAACAATTACATGACATAACAAGTCAAAAAAATTCTTCTTATTTTCACATTTTGTTTCTATCATATTATTTAGGGTAAGTTACCATTACCCCTTCTTTTTTTTTAAGATTTAAAAACATACAGTTAATTTAATATTTTTGACATAATTATAATAATTTTTAATTTTAATAAGTCTAAAGTGATCAAAATTAATACTGTGGATAGATACTGAAGTAAACAATGATAAATATATGTTTTAATAAAAAAAATAGATGATAATTATCACAAAAGTGTTAGTAATAGATGATGCTAACAAATTATTTGTAAATTAAAATTTCAAGAGAGAAACTAATAGGGGTGAGCATGGTCCGGATTGGAGTAAAATCAGGATCAATCCGTTATTTACAATTTCTAAAAAATTGGAATCAATCCAATCCGTTTAAATCGTGAAACCAATCTGAACTAATCCATTTAAACACAGATTGGATCGATTTAGCATCACAGATTCACATAATTAAATAATAAAAAATAAAAAATATTTTAATTTTATAAAAACATAAATATAGTATCACACTAGTTTCACAATAGCAACATGTCTTTCCATAATAGTGAGATATTATTCTAAAATTTAAATAATCATAAGAAAACTGGTTCATCATAAGTATTTAGACCATTACAAATTAAAACTAAAAATCAACAATCAAAAGCAATAAAAGAAGATATTGTGTGAGTTGAGATTTGAACTTAGGTTTTATATGGAATAAGATACTATGCCGGAGAGTATATAATATAGATATAGACTATTTGTATACGGTTCGGATTAGTTCTAATTAGGAATTGTGGGATTCAATCTGGAACCGATCCGTGCATTACGGATTTTTTATTTTTCAATCCGAAACCGAATCACGTATTCAAAAAATCAATCTAAACCTACTGAATTAGACTGGACCGGATCGAATTGCAAATTTCACATATTCCTTACTCATTTCTATAAACCAATTAATAATCACAAAGTATAAAATTAATTATATATTTTTTTTTCGAATATAAGAGGAGGTGAGTATAATTCATCTTATTATTTAAGTAAATTTTATTCTAGATTTAAATTTTTTTATTTTTGCATGACATACTAATTTACAAAAAGTTAAGGCTCAGTTTGTTTATGTTTTCAAACTAGTTTTTTACATCATACTTTGAATATGATGTTTGTTTAGTATTTTAGAATTACATTTCGAAAGCTCTGCGGAGAGCTCTGTCTCAACCGCTTTTTCAGCCGCGCTTTTCAGATTTTTTTTTAAAAAATTTTGCCTGACGAGACGTCCGGTCGGTTGACCGGAATAGTGATTTATTTTATTTTTTATTTTTTTATGCAATTGATATGTTAATTTTTATATAATCGGAAAAAATATTTTCTAAAATATTTTTATGTGCTTTAAAATAATTTTGAGTTGTATGTTTAGTTATGAATTGTAAATTTTTATATCAAATATCAAATGTCACATCAACAATTTCCCACTCAAATCAAAACTCTTTTCAAAAATTATTTTTAAAACTCAAAATTTTTAAAATTTTTTATGTGCTTTAAAATAATTTTGAGTTATATGTTTAGTTATGAATTGTAAATTTTTACATCAAATATCAAATGTCACATCAACAATTCCCCACTCAAATCAAAACTCTTTTCAAAAATTATTTTTAAAACTCTTTATCAAACAAATTTTCTACACTCAAATCATAATTTTAAGCCCCACAAATTCAAAATATAACTCATACTCCCAAATCGTAATTATAAAAGACAACCAAACGTAGGCTAAAATTTTATTTTACTATAAGTTTTTTTTTAAAGATAATTATAATAAATGTGAGGATATTTTCGTAAATAACAGGCACTTATAGGGGCAAGTTGACGAAACCATTTCCAGGAGAGGTCGACAATTTCCCAGATTTATCGTGGCGCGTGAAAAATAGGTCGAAGCATTAATTCAAAGCCAATGGCGTATTCGAGAGTATACTTCACGCTCTGCAAAGCGCGTGGCTCAGTGCCTCTTTAAATAAAGGGCGGCTGCACTGTACTTCTCAACATTAAAATCCATTACTGATTACACATCACACTACACGACAAAACAATTTATTATAAAAATATTAGTAATAATGTTATGGATTGATTTGGGAAGTAGGTTAGTTTTTTGGTTTTTTATTTTTTATTTTTTAATTATTTTAGTTTGAGATTAAAAATTTTTGTTTGGAAATAATTTTTTTGATTTTTTTGACTTTTTGTGAGAAAAAAATGTAATAATTATGTGTTGGATGTGATGATTTGTTATATTGAGTTAAAAAGTTTATTTTATTTTTTTTGCAGTTAAAATAGCCTTAAACCCAACCCAATCCTTCTTCCCAAACAAAGCCAATGGGTTCGTTTTGGAAGTGGGCTAGCTTTTTGATTTTTTTTTTGCTTTTTAGCTGTTTTAGTTTGGGGTTAAAAAGTTTTGTTTGAGAATAACTTTTTGACTTTTTATGAAAAAAAGAATGTAATGATTATAGGTTGAATGTGATATTTTGTCTTATTGAATTAAAAAATATATTTTATCTTTTTAAAATAACCATAAACCCAACCTAACCCAACCCAACCCATCTTCCCAATTGAAGTCAATAAAAAATACTAGTATTTGAATTTTATAATAAAAACTGAGTAATGTTAGAAACCTCAAAAGTTCTATAAATTTTTTTATCAATTATCTCATACGATCGTGGGATTTACATGAGTGAATCTCACACCCATATAAAATAGGAAAATGCTAGAGGTCCCAAATTTTCTACCAAATAAATGACCAAATGTCTCACATGGGTGTGGGGCCCACAAAATTGCAGACCTCACATCCATGTGAGACATTTGGTCATTTGTTTGGTAGAAAATTTGGTATCCCTAGCATTACCCTATAAAATATTTAGTACTGTAAAAATTTTGATAAAATTTTTAGATCTCTAACATTTTTAAGAAAAAAATATATAAAAAAATAGTAATAATGTTATACTTTTCATAATTGTATACCATATTGAGCTCTCGGATAAATGTTGAGGTTAACATACCTATATAAGGCAAATTCATAATTGTATACCATATTGAGCTCTCGGATAAATGTTGAGGTTAACATACCTATATAAGGCAAAATATATTATTTTAGTTAAATAAAATAAAATGTCACATTTAATTTATAATTATTTTATTTTTTTCTTATAAAAATCAAAAAAATAAAAAAGCTATCCTAAATAAGAATTTTTAGGCCAAGACTAAAATAGGCACAAAAAATAAATAAAAATAAGAAGTCAATTCACATATCAAACGTGCAAATAGGCACAAAAAAAAATAAAAAATAAAAAGTCAATTCACATATCAAACGTGCCCTAATTGTGTTTGGTGTAATTCATTCACCATATTTGGTTCCAGCAAATTCATAAGTACTTTATAAAAAAATTGATTTTTTTGATTTTTTTATACTTTTTATTGAATTTTTAAAAATATTTTATGGAATCTTTTAATATTTTTATACACTTAATCTAAATATACTTAAAAAATATAATATTTGTGATTTTTTTTTTATAAAAAAAGTCATCAAATACAAAAAATTATAAAAATTCAATACATTTTCATATTTTGTTGTATTCAATAAATTTTGTAAAGTTTTTTGTATAAATTTTTTACTTTTAAGTATATTAAGATTGAGTGTATCAAAAAATTAAAAAAAATTGATTAAAATACTTCAAAAATCATTAAAAATACAAAAAATATGAATTAAAAACTCAAGAAACTATTTTTGAAAACTCAAAACCAATCAAGGTGATTATAACTCAAAAATTGATAATAAAAAATATATATCAAAAACTCAATTTTCAATTTTTAAATAATCAGATTTTTTTTTAATTTATTTAAATTATTTTTATTTAAGAAGATATAAGTATTAAATAATTTGAAATAAATATATATATCTATATATATATGAACAACTTAGATAAGATGCATCAAATATAATGAGATGTTTGGTGTAACTTATATGAGGTTTATAACTTTCTTATTTTGAAAATTTGAGTTAAATTATTTAATACAATTCTGTTTTGTAAAGTAAAAATAATTTAAATTAATTAATTTTTTGCAATGGAGTGAGATGTGTTTTTAACTTTTATTCTTGAATTTTTAATTTCTAATTATAATACTCCAAGTTGTTCCAAAAAACACCAATATATTGTAATAAATTTCACCACATATGTATTTTTAATGTGATACTAATAATCATATTAAATAATAAGATAAAGGGTTATTTTGGAAAGATTGTTATAATCAGTTTTTTAGTAAAAAATTACTTATAAGGAGCTTATAAGTAGCTTTTTTGTGAGAGAAGAAGTGAATTATAATTTGAGAAATGAATTATATCCCACTTTTCAAAATATGCCAAAATAATAAAATTTGATGATAATTATAGTATTACACATAAAAAAAATAATAATAATAAAGAAAGACGATGGTGGACCGGTAGTGATCTTAACTTTTATTTGAAATGCGAGTTAAGTTTGTTTGTGGAGTATTATATAAACATATTTTTTATTTTTATTTTTATTTTTTGGGTCATATTATTTTTATAATTGTAAAAAATTAAAAAATTAACCTATTTTGATCATTCCAAATAACTGATTTTTTTTTTTTTACTTTGGATTAAAAAGCTTGGCTTGTGATGGATTTTTTAATTTTTTAATTTTTATGAAAAAAAATAAAATAATTAAGATTTAAATATAAATTTATTAATTTTTAAATTTATTTTACCTCTTCAGGACTAAAATAGTAAAAAAAAGTCAGGCCAAACATAACCTTATAGCGTGCTGAGAAAGGAAAAAAGATTTTTTATTATTATTATTATTTTTAAAAGTGTTTTTAATAGTGTGATATGAGGAGGAGGGGGAAAGGAGCCGTTCTTCTAGGGAGAAAGAAGCTGTAGTAGGAGTATATATACATACATACATACATATATATGCATAGATTTACTAGAGAGAGAAAAACATGGTTCTAGACAGAAGAATACAGCAAGACTCAGGGGTTTGAAGAAAGGAGACATGCCCAATTCCATCCCAACATTTTCCACTCCTTATCCAATCCCAAAGGTCTCTCTTACCCTTTTCTTTTCTTGGGTTTTACTCTGCATCTGATTTTCCCATTTTATATGACATGTATATATCTATATCTATCTATCTATCTATATATATATATTCTGGTTGTAGTTGAAATCATATATAGTGTATGTGTTATTATTGTTTGGTTTTGTGTTTTTGATTGAGCTTAAGATGGTGAGGTTGTTTGTTGAGAAGATGGGGCTTTGAGTCTTGGATAAAAGCTCTGCATGTGTTGTTGATTTTACAGTGTTTTATAGTTATATCTTTGCCTTTTATGTTGTTTTTTTATCTGGGTCTGCATTGCTTTAAAGGGTTTCCATTTCAGGGATGGCTTTTATTTATTTATTTTTGTGAAATTCTTCCTCTGGAAAACGGTTCTCTATTGATTTCCAAGTGTTTTTGTCTTCTTTAATTTATTTATTTATTTATTTTTGGGGTCTAAAACTTACTATGATGTTAAGAATAGTTTGTGGGTTTGTGGTCAATTTGATTTTTAGTAATTTATAGTTGATGGGTTTTTATTTTTATACAGGAATATCCCTATTTATTCTTTCTTTCTTTCTTCTTCTTCTTCTTCTTTTTTAAATAGAGAATTTTCTACCTCCCGAAAACTGTTTTCTGCTGATCCTCAACTGTTTTTGTCTTCTTTATTGGTTTTTATTATTTAGATTAAAATAAATAAATAAATAATATGATGTTAAGGATGGTTGGTGGGTTTTTTTTTTTTGGATTTTTGTTTCTTTTCTTTTCTCTTGTCATAGAGGAATATCCCTACTGATTCAGCTGGAACTCTCGTTTGATTGTTCTGTTATGTGATTCGTTCAGTATGCTGTTGTTTGTTGGGCATGTTCTCTTCATATACATTGGTTTTGTGATATGTTTGTTTTTGTGATAACCTAAATCTGTGTACTGATACAAGTAAAAAGTGGTTAATCAATTATCAAAATTAGTTCAAAACTTGGAATGAGTGAAGGCATTCATTGTCTCCATTAATGAGGGAAATGTTGAGGACTAATTTCTCATAATCCTAGTCTAAGAAGCATGGACACGGATACAACACGGATACGCTGACACGTTAATTTTTAAAAAATACAAAACACGACCTGTGGGGGGATACGCAAGAAATATATAATTTTATATATATTTATTATATGTTATATATATAAATATATTATTCAAAGATAATAAAAAATGCAATATGACACTAATTCCTATAAATTTATATGGTTTTTGTTTTATTATTGTATCTTAAGTTGTTTTGTTTAAACTTATAATTAATTTCACATGTGTCTAATCAATAGACATGTGTGTTTAAGCGATTGACACATGTCCTCCAAGCGTCCAAAGAGTGTTTGGGACTTTAAATTTTTTTTAAAAGTAGGACACGTTTTGAAGAGTGTTCGACACGTGTTCTAACAGTGTCCAAAGAGTGTTGGTGTTTGATACGGATACGACACGGATATGTCACCTTCTTCGAAGTGTCTGTGCTTCTTAGACCCTAGTTTTAATTGTTTGAGGATTTTAAAAATCTAACCTGCCTAGGGATGTAATCGGTTCGGTATGGTCGGTATTTAGGTAAAAAATTACACCGAACTGATAATGTCGGTTTTATTATTTTAAACACCGATATAGACCCGCTTCTCCCATCAAACCGCATTGAACCGAACCGAACCGAATTGATTGAAACGGTTCAATTTGTTGGTTTAGGATTTTTCAAACTTGAGCCACTTTTAAATATAATCATTAATCTATATAAAAACATTAAATTAGTTATTTGTCTACTATTTCAAACATATTCAATCCATCCATTTAATACATACTTTTCAATTCCTAAATTAACAAAAATAAAAACAAAAAAAATTTTAAAAATACTAAGGTTTAAAGAATAATGAGTTAGAGTTAAGATTATATATAATAAAAATTTACAAACTTAGGTTATAAAGATGATAAGGTTAATAATTTATTATATATATTAATATCATTATATTATTAGATTATATATATATTATAAATACAATATATGTTGAAGCAGTCAGTTTTGGTTTAGATTGGTGCATAAGGTGCTTAAATCGATACCGAACCGAAAATCGAAAAAAAATCAAATTTAAAAACTGCACAGACCGATTTTTGTTAGAAAACAGATCAAATATAGCCGGTTTGGTTCGGTTTTTTTGGTTTTTCTTACCTCCTATAATATATTGATTATCGCGATGTATAGTGACCATTCATTTGTCTGATCTGTGCTCATCCTTGCTGGGTGGAAGCCAGGGGTTGAGGCATTGAAATTTTTTAGGTTAAGTACTCTATTCATGTGGAATATACATAGATGGAGAAAGCAATTAGTTTATTCTATCAACGAGCTTTTGTTGTGGTCTTAGTAATACTACTGATACTGAATCATTTTTGATTCAAGGATCAAGTAGTTTGTTGATAGCACCATTGCATCTCTCTAAATTTTGATGCCTTGATTTTTATTTTGCAATTTTTCTGCTTTTACCTGATAGTTGATAACAACATTGAAGCAAAAACTTAAGTTGGATGTTTGGCTGTTGATTATTAGGTAAGTTAAACACTGTTGGGGGTTTCCTTATAGCCATTTACTATCCAGAAGAATGCAGGGTTTTCGTAAGAAAGATTCTGATTTAAGCTCTGCCCAGTCAACGGTTCCACGTGTTGGTCATTGTGCATCTTGGTGGACTTCCACTGCATCACAAATTCAAGAGTCTTCTCTATCCAAAAATTTAGGCTTGAAAATGTCAACTCCAAATCAACATGGCCACAATGTGAAGCAAATGGGATTTCAATTTCAAGACCAAGACTCATCCTCAACTCAATCAACTGGTCAATCTTATAATGAGGTAGCCAGTGTAGGAGAAAGTAATCCTTGTGGAAAAAGCATAATGTCAATGCAATCGGGTAATTATATCCATGTTCTATCTTTCTAATTTTTATGTTTCAGAAAAATGATGATTAGTTTGTTATCTAGAAGTTGATGGAAAACTAGGAAAAGCGGGGGTTGTCTTGTATAACTCTTTTGATTGCTTGAGGGCACATAATTGCATTGATTGAATTGATGTCTTTCAATTCCCTCCTTATGTTTAGCAAGACAATTATGCGGTTACTGATTGAGTTTTGGCAGTTGAAACTTGAAAGCCATAATGGATTGTTTAGGGTTAAGATTAGATTATTGCATAATTTAGGTGGGAATTCAACCAAAGTGTGTAAATTGATTTTATACATTTAATGCTTTAGGAGTTCAACCTTTGTTTATTTCTCATATTGTGAAATCCATGATCTTTTTTTTAGCAAGAAATCACTGATGCCCTTTTATAATGGAATTGGTCACTTTTATGTACATGGGTTCGTATCTTTTGTTGAAAGCTAAAAAATGAAGTATTATGTTAAGACTGCGCACTTTGGGCATCAATGGGAGACTAACTGTTATTTTCAATGGCTAGTAACTAAGGAGCATAGATGATTTTTTCTATTTCTTTTTTCTTGCTTTTATGATTGATCATAGAAAAAGTGTTAGCTTGATTTACATTGTTTGGTTCATTTCCTAACGGCTTAAGTTTTGGAGACAATTCATGATGTAACTGTTGGCATATTATAATCACCGAAAGTCACTTAGCATATTATATTAGCCGAAAGAGTCTGTAATCATTGTTTTATGCACTCAGGGATTGTAATTGTCTACCTTGTAAACCCTAATCTTTATTTATAAATAAGGGATGATAGCTCATCATACCCTAAGCTGTTACTCAAGCTTCAGTAACATGTTATTAGTGCTTTTGTTTTAGGAAGTCTTGGGTTCTAGTCTTGTACTTCCTATTATCTTTGTCATTGCGCTCTTTGTTTTGTCTGTCGTCGTGCACCTTATTTCTCGGTCAGTTTGTCTATCCATGTGCGAGATAGGGTCACTCATTAGGGGGAGTGTTAGCTTGATCTATATTCCTGGGCTCGTTTTCTAACAGTTTAAGTTTTGGGACAATTGGTGATTTAACTAGAAGATATATACCCATACACATTAATATAGATATTTTCTATGCATTTCAAAGCCATTTACTACTTGGTCAGTCTTAGAAATATATAGAATGTCCTCCTATACATGTGATATTTCCATTTTCCATCTCTATTTGTCAGTGGTTTTTGCAATGGTGCAAATCAACTTCCTGCTTACACTTCATATAATTTTGTCCTGAAACCATGGTTTTTTTCTCTTCTCCCCCCTTGCATGCCTTGTTGCTAGGCCAGCTAACTTTATGCTTTTTGGGGCATTCTTTTGCTTTTGCTTTTATTTATTTTTAAGGATATAATGGAACACATGGGAAGCCTGACGTGGGTCAAATTAAGTCAGCTTTATTGAATGGCACTCAGGACTGTGTTCTACCTCCTTCACAAGTTGATTATAGACAACCATTTGTAAGTTGAACATAGCTACCCATGTAAGTTGATTCTTACCTGTTCACTTTGTCGTTTTTAAGTGAGTTTTTGTTTTCTTTTTCAGACTTGCATTCCACTTCCGTATGCAGAACCATACTATGGTGGGCTACTGGCTACTTATGGGCCACAGGCTATGGTTAGTACATATGGCATGTAATCCTGAGCCATTCCTCTTCTTCTTCTTCTTCTTCTTTTTATATTATTATTATTACTGTTATTTATTTATTTTTTAATGTATCCTAATTGCAATTTAGTAACGTCTAGTATGAATTGGAAGTTAAATGATAAAGTGAGTTAGTTTGAATTTCAGATTTTCCTACTTTATTTTAACTGAATTTCCATTTCTTGAAGTTTTAAACCAGAGTTGTCTGAATGAATTGGTCCCAATTTATTCTAAAGAGTTTGAAAATTATTGGTTTATTTAATCTTTTGGAATGAAATTGAATTAATCACTATCAATGAGTGATTTAATTTACAGGAGGCCAAATTTACTTTAACACCCTTGGTGGCATAGCACTCACTGTTATCAGAAAAACCCGAGGGTTTTTTAATTTAATTTTTTTTGGGTGTGTATAACCTCTGGATAACATGCTATGGTGAACCATGCAGGTTGCATAATATGTGGTATGACTAATTTCTTTGGTGTAAATTTCAAGAAATTATAATCAATGGTTTATTTATATCCTCATTAACTTTATAATGTTGCCTGTGCTGAGAAAATTACTTCTTGTGTGTCAATCTGTTAGTTCAATTTATTATTATTATTATTTTTGCATGCGGCGGGTAGAATTATGTCTTGATTCCCTGTCAAAATATTACAAAGTTTGACAAAAACTTGCATAAAAAAAAAAAGGAAAACTTTATAAATAAGTTGTTTTTTGTGAAGTTAAAGCATTGAACTCTGTTGTAATCTGTAAATAGCACTTTCAATCAAATTTCTTGCCAGCATAACCAGTGATATGTGAGCTAAAATGTGTTGGTTGAGTTACTGAGGGCTTATTTGGTATAGTTGTTGAAGACTTTTCTGTTCTCAAAAACAGAAAGATGAAAGTGAAGGATGATGCATTTGGTGGAAGTGTTTTTCAGAAAGTGTTTTTTGAGGAAAATTTCTTCAGACAGTTATTTTCAGGAAACTATTTTTAAAATGTTTTATCTGTTTTTGAAAACTCAGGATCACAAGAAAATCTATTGAATTTGGTGACAATTGTGTTTTCAAACTTTTCATTGTATCTTTCGTAACTCAAAAAATGAAAACTGAAAACGAAAAACATGATGCAAACACAATCCCTAGATTGTTGTTGCAACTGACAGTGAGGTAGGTACTTGAAATCCTGTTTGTTTTTGTTAATAATTGACTTCTAGATTGATGTACATTGGTTTTGGTGTGCGTATATGTCTCTACATAAGGATCTAGTTTTTGTTGTGAAAAAACAGTCGTGGCTTAAGGTTAACTTGCTTGAGCTGATATAAAGGAAGACTAATATGTTTTTCGAGGATCTAATTTCTGCTAATAGCATATACAATGCAACCACTAACTGTAGGATTACAATGCCATAACATGAGTCCTTCATTGCCCATACCTAATTTTCTTTATTAGTTTCCTTACCGTGATGAGCATTCCTTTGCTTCTATTGATGCCCTGCAATTAAAATCCAAAGCTTGGGCTACTCTAGTTATTCCTTGATTATTAATTTATATTGATTTAGTTTTTAGTTAAATTTGTTACAAAGCTTAGATATCATGTCATGTGCTTTTACATTAGTATGTTGAATTTGTATTATGAACTTATGCTTATGAGAGACTTCCATTTTCAATATTAAATGTCATATTTTTTCCCTTGACAAGTGGAAGTTATATAAAGTAAAGAAATTTAATACATGCAACAAAAGAAAAAATCTTTATAGCAAGTTAAAACTAGTGTAAAAATTAGTAATATATTAAACCATATTTAAAACCTAAACAAAACCCACCAAAAACTATTGAATAATGCTATATGCACCAATTAGTGTACTGACTAGTTAATACACTAATTGGTGCATGTAGCACCACCGAAAACTATTTTGAAACTCCTTAAATGTAATTATGAAATAAAAATTTAGGATATCGGTATTTTTTCCAATTGGTGTGAAAAACTAAAAAATTCATAGTTGTGGTTGCCACCACTGTTACGCTACAACTGTTATACCCTGCAACCGTGTTAGCAACCATGTCAGCACCACCGTTACCATTACGGTTGCTGCCATTGCTAAAACCTTGGCCCATATCCCAACAGCTTGAGTTTTTAGGACAATTCTTTGATCGTTCTATTCAAAGTTCTTTTCTGAGAATTATGCTTTTTGTGGTGCCTCTACTTCTATGCCATGGCTGTCTGAATGCTAAACTCTGATATCCAGTGGCATCTGTTTGCTTTTTTGCCTTAAATTGCTGATTTAGTAGATGGAAAATTTTGTAAATTTAAAATTAAGAAATGGCTAGAGTTGCTGATTTCTGTACTTCCATGCACCCACTAACCATCACATCCTTTAGAACAGCATAGTGGCTGTTTATAAGTATCATCACATCCTATGCACATTCATTTCATTCGCATCACACACTTGTTTCTAGAAAGTACAAAAAGATGAGCTAGTGTCTGCACTACTTTTAATATTTATGGCGCACTCCGTGATTTTTGATACTCCTTCGGCAGTAACATGTGAAGTTATGCAACCACAGGGTTTAGCCCAGTGGCCAGTGTACCTCACTAAAAGGTCAGGAGTTTGACCCACCCGTCCCCTTCAATGTACCAAAGAAAGTGAAGTTATATGTTTTGTTTATTTTGTGATTGTCAAAGCCTAGACTCTAGACCATCCTTTTCACCTAGTAGAATCTTCCTTAGCATTAATGAATAATCCTTTTTTGAAAAATAAACAATTAATTATGCTGTCCTCACAGATTCTTCAGAGTTAATAAAGGAGGTCTATGAAGAACTATGTGCCATTCTAAATATACATCTTTTCCAGTTCTTTTTTACTTTGCATATCACCTTTGTTCTTATTCTTCTCCCAGCACTTCTTTTTTTTTAATAATTGAAGTAGATTTCCTTTTTGTTTTTTTTTTTTATGAAATGTAACACTAAAAATTTGTCAATTGGTAATATCAGCAACCTAATATTCTTGTTAAAGTAGCGAAGAAACGGAACGTTTACTTGGTTTTACGTTGAATGCCACTTGTGGTTTTGACTCTATTCTGATTTTCTTGGAATCAATCAATGACCTGCTAGTTTATTTAAACCACATCATTATGGTGATTGAGTACTCAAGATGTGTTTTATCTGCAACCCTTTTATGAGATACTTACCATTGCACTGTCACCAGATTCATCATCCCCAAATGCTGGGGGTGGCTCGTGTGCCACTGCCTCTTGATTTTCCTCAGGACGAGCCCATATATGTTAATGCAAAACAATTCCATGCAATTCTCAGGCGAAGACAATACCGTGCCAAGCTTGAAGCTCAAAACAAAGTCTCAAAAGCTCGAAAGGTATGAACGGACCTTATATTTTCAGCTTCTTTCATGTGTTTTCCTACAATCAGTCTGCTGTGCCATGGTATGGTGCAGTGCTGTGTCTATTTGACCAAAGAAGTATTATTTCTTCAAAAGGCGAGCTCCTTTCGAGTTTGGGCCTCTGAACTGGACGTCTAGTCTGAACAGCCGAGCTTTGCCACATGGGCACTTTTTGTTAATTAATGATTTAAATTTTGTCAACCTACTTACAAACCCAATATTGGATTCATCTAAGAAATTTGATCCAGTATTTAATGGTTTAATGGGTAGACAAAATTTAAACCTTTAATTTCCAGGAAGTATTGATGTGGCACAAATCTGTTGCTCGGACTGTTCTCTCCCATCCGAACCTGAATTGGAGAGAAACCATTCTCTTTGCTCATTAATTAATCCCTTTCTGAAATCTGTCAGCCGTATCTGCACGAGTCTCGCCATCTACACGCGTTAAAGAGGGCAAGAGGATCTGGTGGACGATTTCTCAACACACAGAAACTCCAGGAATGCAAGCTCAATGGCATGACCAATGGGAAAGACAACTCCGGCTCGGTTCAGTTTCATTTGACCGCTAACATGTCGGAATCTGAAGTTCACCACCCTGAAAATTACAAAGAGGGTCCTTCGACAACGTCTTGTTCTGACGTCACTAGTGCCTCCAACAGTGATGGTATGTTTCAGCATCAAGAATTTCGGTTCTCCCTCTACCCTAATTGCATTGGTGGGGCCGTGCAAAGTGGCGAGAACCTGCACTCTCTCTCAGTTCATCGGTGAGAGATGAGACCAACGGCGTTTGAATCAGCAAATCCGTGTTCCGGTAATGCTGATGAAATGGGGAAGTCATCCTTGGCTCAGTTTGATAGGTTATGTTTGTGTTGCTTCTTGACTTAAAACTTGTCGATAACATGGGATGTGGAGGTTTTGCTATGTCATAATTGCGATTTGGAAAAACAAACATGCTTTAATTAGGTTATGGGTGATTTGAACAAGTGAAGAACACTATAGCTTTAATTCCTGGTTGTAAGGTGTGTTTTAAGTGTTTGCCAAGACTAATTGCTTTGGTTATTATGAGGATTTGTGATTTGCTCTGGCAAATAAACTAGGATTTTATGATTTTGTTAACACAGTGCAGCTCCAATTGCATTTGCAGAGATCAAACCCGGAGTTGGAAATAAAGTGGCCTGATTTAAAAAAAAAAAATGACAAATCCTGGTATGGTTTTGTAATGGCAACTAGGGTTTTTGTATGAAATGTTGTTTCCTTTCATTTTTTTGAGAAAGAAGAAATTCAGGAGAAAATTTGGAGTGCTTTATTTAGCATGTGCTTTTTTTGGTAATTTGTTTGGCTTTTTTAGAAGCTAAAAAAGTACTAGTTGTCTTATACTGATAAGTGGATTAACTGGGCCTTATTTTTGGTAATTGTCCTATCATATATATATATATACACTAGCGTATGTCCGTATTTAAAGGTATGGTATAAATAATGTCGGGATTAAAATATAATTGTAATGTATACGTAATATGTTTAAATTTGTTTAAATTTATGGAGTCTGTAGTATTTTTTGATAAAGATATTATTTTTTTTAAAGAATTTGTAATCATTTTATTTGTACCACACGTTTTACAGAATTTAAATAAAATAACTTTTCCTTGTGTATGCACGGGGCACGGTGAAAATAATAATAAAAACAAAATTACTCTGTTATTAAAAATTTAATAGAACCAATATTTTTTTTTTTCATGACTTTAGGTTTCTCAATAAATATATGTCAAGTATTTGAATAACTAAAGTTACTTGATATTTTTTTATTTTTTTAATAAAAATAAATAAATTATTAATATAAAAACAATTATTTTAACAATAATGTGCTATAAACAATCCGGTACAATTACTTAAACAAACCTGTGCAATTATTTAACCAAAACTACTTTTTCGTTTCTTCTACTTCTTTGTGTTTTTGTTCTTTTTTGGGCAGGGAGCTTTGTCTTTTTTTTTCCTCTACGTCTCTCTCTTCCTATATGAATTCCGTTGTTGCTCAAGTTTGAGTTTCAAATGGGAGTCATAACCCAGTTAATGAAAATTTATTAAAACACATTAAAAAGTGTTGGTTTGGGCTATTTTGGGAAGTGAGCTAAAAGTCACTTTTCAGCTTTTAACCCACTTCCCTCTCTCACAAAAAGCCAAAAAATAGTTTTTAACCATTTTTCCAAAACACCCTTTTGTAAACATCTCAAATAATTATTTGGAACTATGTTAATTTGGTGAAGCATGATCTAAAATAAAACAAATGCTTAGAAAGCTAGTAACCTTAGTAAATAACTGTATAGAAAAATTTAGAAAGGAAGGTGGCTCACATCTGCCATCTGGACATCCACAGTTGGGTCTCCTTCCATGCGCATGAGCTTCCACTAGTTACTTAGCTCCTGTGCTGCCTGTAAGAAGTACCTCCCATTGGTCCAAAGCAGCGTTTCATTCATTGTAATAAGTGCCAAACCTAAATGGAATTTAGCATCAGTAACCTTACAAAACTAAAACTGATTAATCAAAGGTTTGAATCATTAACATGTCAATACGTTGCATGGAAAATAAGGCTGTCATTTTGTATGATGGAAACATATAGGATAACTCTACAGAGAGGCACATAAAACCTACATTGATTACACGCAAAAGATATAGTCCAGCACCAAGGTAATGGAAGATTCCCCCAAAAGCAGGCACATAAAACCTATATTGTTCACACAACAAAAGATCTAGACTACATTTCAATACCAATGTAATGGAAGATTCGCTAAAATGTGAGATAAGCATAAAAGCACCATTTCAATGTACCCGTAATGTGGCTAGCTAGTGCTTAAAAACAAAAACATGGCGTCATCATTCATGCATTCAACAAAAGAGGATCTCTTAAAAATTCAAGACCATAACTTCCCAATGATAACCAATGCCTCATTTTTAACAGAGGCAAATTCCTCAAGTATTGCACTATGAACAATAGAGTTCAAGGTATGTTTTCTCACAATTTTTTTTTTAAATAAATTTAAGCTATTGTTTGGTTGGGATTTAAGATGCAGTTATAATCTAATGAACAAATTGAGTAAGAGAGTGTTCGATAACTCAATTCCACACATTAAGTCTATTTGATAATTACAATTCACATCACTTAAAATTTTAACAACCTATTAAAAAAAAACTAAAATTTTAAGCCAAAAATTTCTTACTTAATGTTGAATGCTGGATTTTTAATTGTTTATGCTTATATTATCGTTAAAGTGTATCATCACCACAATTGTCACTCTACACTACTGCCACTATTTCTGCCACCACATTGCCACCGCCACTACCACCACCATCATCACCCTACCTTACCATTACCATACTACCACACAATAGCCATCACTGCCGTCACCACCACCACATCAACATTGTTACCATGTTGCCCCTCAAATACCATGCCAATGCCACTGACATCACCACTACTGTCATGTCATTACTACCATCATTTCTGCTACCACAATTGTCACCACTGAGTCTACCCAGCACATTGCCACCGCCGCCACGTTGTTACCAACTAAACATGTAAACAAAAAAATATATATAGAAAATAAATTTCAAACTCACCTTCTAATATACATATCAAATAGCTTGATTAAATTCAACACCGAAAATTTTTTGTACACACTTCGAATATAATTTCAAATTAAAAAATTCATTTTCCAGATTTCATTTTGATCAACACCACCAAATTCTGATGCCTAAAATTATATAAACAATTAAATAAGCATAATCAATTGACCTCACAGTAATCAGTAAAAAGATATAAGACATAGCTAACTAACCAGCTATTCCGATGAAGCCAGATACAACTTCACGCCTTTTATCCCTGTCAAATACATACTCACTCTGCCACGACATTCAGCAAATGAAAGAATAATCCTAGGTTTTCAATCAATCAAACATTGATAAAACCATGAAATATCATAGAGAAATAGAGAGAGGGGACTTGGTGATAATCTTTGAAGGAGGAGCAGCGTTGTTTGAATTACAGCAAGGGAAATCCAATCTAAACAAACCCAGCCAAAAACAAAAACAACAGCCAAGGGTGGGTGTATGATTTAAAACAAAACACATGAAGCAAAGCCAGTTATGATGAAAGAAAACCCTTCTCAGTTGTTTTCTGTGAGACTGTCTCTTCAATCTCTATACTATGTTTCTAGATAGAGAAAATGGAAATGGCTCAGTGAACTCGTTTGGCAGAATGTTTTGTTCTTAAAACACAACATAGTCAAATGAGATCATATACAGATTTATATGGGAATCCAACTGCATTAAAAAAAAAAAAATTGGCTATCTAAATGCTATTCACAATGGAACAAAAATCAAAGCACACAAACACAATAAATAAATGAATAAATAAACTCACTAATAGAGACTAAAAAAAAAATACAACAAAGAGTAATCAAGAGAATCCGAAAAAATATGTACTCAATAATGGAGGAGAGGGACTAAAAATTTGAGAAATTCCAAACCAATATCAAGGACTCACAGATGTCAATGAAGGTGAGAATTAGGATTGCTTGATCATAGAAGATAGCTTCCAAGGACTCACAGATGTCAATTAACATGCACTATACATATCTATACAATATATGTTTCCTTTAATATATGTACTCACAGATGTCTTGGCCTTTTTGGTTCAATCAGGTCTGCGATTTCGGTCTCAAAGAAAGGGAAACCAATTAATTCTAAATAAATAGTTTATATAACCAAAAATTTGAGAAATTCCAAACCAATATCAGCCTATCACCATCATCGATGAACTTGAACAACTGCTAGTGTATAGATCTGTGTTTGGCAAAAGATTTTTTGAGGCAGTGGTGGTGAAATCATCGGTTGTCTGTATTAGGGGTGTACACGGTCCGGATTGGTTCGGTTCTGAGAAAATCCAAGAACCGAACCGATCCTAACGGTTATGTGATTTTGAAAACCAGACCAGACCAGACCGTTACACTTGTAAAACCAGACTAGAACCAAACTGAAAAAACAGTTCGGTTTCGATTTGGTTTACGGTTCCAAAATTTTTATTTACAAGAATAAATTATTAATATTAGCAAAATAATTACTCAAACTAATTACATTTAACTCATGATAAAAACTAATAATATTAAGGCATTACTTAATATTACATATCTATACCATCCTAATATCATTAAAATTATAAAAAACCAATTAGTAAAAATAAAACTTGATATTATATATATATATATATATATCTTTTAAAATTAGGTTCGGTTCGGTTCGAACCGCGGTTTTTTCATAAAATCCATTAACCGAACCGTTTTTTACGGTTCTCATATTTCTTAATCCGAAACCGAACCAATTCTTAATAAAGCCGAACCAAACCATATGATTCGGTCTGGTTCAGTCCAGATTACCGGTTTAAACGGATTTTTGAACAGCCCCAGTCTGTACGCTGTAGCAGAGGAGGGGTGTGTGAGAGCTACGGATCTCATGACCGGCGGTGGTGGTGGTTCTAGATCTAGAAGCGACGACACCGAAACAGCAGCACCATCGAGCGGTCAGAGAGAGATGTACCGGTGGGAAGTAAGGCTGTTGATCTAGATCTAGAAGCGACGACACCAAAACAGCGGCACCATCGACCATTTGGAGAGAGATGTACCGGTGGGAAGTAATGCTGAGAGAGAGAGAGAGAGATATGAGTGTGGGTGGGTTGGTGTGATTTGAAGTGAGGTGATTGCAAAGTTTTAGATATTTTTGAAGCGTGGCTCTTAGGTGGGAAGTTGAGGTAGAGTGAAAAAGAAGGTTATCATCTCTACCGTTCATTTTCAGGCAGAAATAAATCCTAATCGTTCAAATGTCTTTGTCACGACCCAAACCCGGCCCTATGGGTTTAGCACCGTAACCGGCCAGTAATCTGATATTACCGAAGGCCTGCAGAACAGTAATACAGTAAAACAGAGTACAGGGCCTGGCGGAAGCCAATACAGTAAATAAATAGTGTCCATTGAGCTGTGACATTCTGTATGCAAAAGGACTTTTTACACATTTATACATAAACAGTGCAGAACAGTATACACAATATTTACAATCATTCAGACTAGGGACTCAACCCTATATAACAGTACAGTAACACTCGGTCTATACAGAACAGTAAAACAGTACAGAAGGGGGAATTGTAAAAGACCCCTAAGCCTTAACAGATAGGCTCGGAACCTCGCAGTGAGGCACAAAGGCTGGCTTGACAAAACTGGAGTAACCCTGACACCTCTAGCTGCGGTCTGGTGCCTGTACACCTACATATATATATGAGCAGTGAGCTAAAGCCCAGTGAATAACATAATATATATATATATATATAGAGGAATCTTGTCATCATATTTGATTAAATATGTGACAATGTTACATAACTAATTTTCACTATATATTTTTGTGAGTTTTAACACACTACTGAATAATATATATATATTTTTAAAATTTAATGACGTGACGAATCATTGTACGAGTTGAAAAGAGAAGTTATTTGCTATTTTCAAATAATGTGGTTATGTATTTATCTAATAACAAAAAGATAAGACTAGTTTTTAAAAATAAAATAAAAAATAAATCGAACATTTAAACACTTGTAATTAAATTGGTATATGATCACCTTAAATTTTTTGAATTGGAATCTTTTCGTATTGATTAGTGATTATGAAAAAAATGAATTTGTTCATACATTTTTAGTGTATTAACAATACATAAATTTTGATTTTTAAATTTTTTTTTTTATCAATACATAAAGCTTGATTCATCCACAACAATACACCCCATCTAAAAGTGTTGGTCCTACTATTTTTCAACTAATCAAAAACTAACAAAATGGACTCGATTATTAGGAAGAGTGGAGACGTCAATTGGGACCCGACCCGAAATAACCGGAGGCCCATTGGATTGGCCCGTTGACTCGGGTCCATTTGGGTTCGCTCCGTGTCTCGGACTCATCTCCACACTCTCAAATATAGTTAAACCGCTCTACTCTGAATAGATTCAAATCCGCCCTCTCTCTCTCTCTCCCCTCTTTTGTAGTCTCATCTTTCTTTCTTTCTTTCTCCTCTGAAACTACGTGCTTTTTCTTCACTCAAAACCTTGCAAATCACAGCAAAATAGCCCTAAAAAGCTCCGTAATTCTCATTCCTGTTCTCTCTAGTAAGCTCTCTCTGTGGACATTTTCACTCTCTCTCTCTCTCTCTCTCTCTCTCTGCTTCTAATGGACGGAGGAGCTCAGTACAATCCTCGCACTGTCGAAGAGGTTTTTAGGGATTTCAAAGGTCGACGAGCCGGCATGATCAAAGCTCTCACCACAGATGTTGAAGAGTTTTATCAGCAGTGTGATCCTGAGAAGGAAAACCTGTGCTTGTATGGATTTCCAAGTGAGCAATGGGAGGTCAATTTACCTGCTGAAGAAGTGCCTCCAGAACTCCCAGAGCCTGCATTGGGTATTAACTTTGCCCGAGATGGGATGCAGGAAAAGGATTGGTTATCCCTTGTTGCTGTCCACAGTGATGCATGGTTACTTTCTGTCGCCTTCTATTTTGGTGCTAGATTCGGATTTGATAAAGCTGACAGGAAGCGACTTTTCAATATGATAAATGATCTTCCTACAATATTTGAAGTTGTTACTGGTGCTGCAAAGAAACAACAGAAGGAGAAATCTTCAGTCTCAAATCATAGTAGCAACAAATCCAAGTCAAACTCTAAAGTGCGGGGATCCGAATCTCAAACAAAGTTTTCAAAGCCACAGACGAAAGATGAAGAGGAGGGTTTGGATGAGGAAGATGAAGATGAGCATGGAGAGACCTTGTGTGGGGCGTGTGGGGAGAACTATGCATCGGATGAATTCTCTCTCTCTCACAGTATCACTCTCTTTCCTTTCTTTTTATTTTAATCTTCCCATTCCCTTTTCTCCTTATTATTCTATCCTCTTTTCCATTCTCCATCCAAAACCATTATCACACATCCACCGCCCATATCCCCCACTTTCTTTATACCCATCTTTTCTTTTATTTTATTATATATATATATATATATTAAAATAATCACTCATAACATCAAACCCCTCTGCTGGTTCCACCCATGTGAGCTTGTCCTCTCTTATTATTATTATTATTATTATTATTATTATTAAACAAAAACAAAAACAAAAACAAAAAAAAACAATTTCTTCAATTACCAAGTAATTTACAAGCAAAATTGAGATGAACTCCACTCCTCTAGTTTTTCTCTCTCTAAGGTCGGCAATGAGATGGGAAATGGCTGAGGAAATATTGTCTTTGGCTCAAGTGTATGAGTGTATACAAGGTTTAAAGATGTGTGAGATAGTGGCCCACTCAAGGGCAAAACGGTAATTAAGTCCAACTCCTCAATTAGCTTATTTCAATCTAATTTAATCATGCCTAATCAGTTTTCAGGTAAATATACCATAAAATCACATTAATTACGAGGGTCATTAAACATCAATCAGTTTCTAATTCGGCCGTCGATAAGGCCTTCAATTAGCAGTTTAAACATATAAGCATGAACAGATAATCATACAATCAAACAGATAGAATGCAATTTAACTAACATATACTCAATCAATTCGGTTTCCAATTTCAGTCAGTCAGTTCAGTACTTTAATCAGTTCAATTATCAGTCAGTTATCAGTCATTATCGGTTCCGTTTAGCAGTAATCGGTGATTATCGGTAATCAATCAGTCCCTAATCAGTAAACAGTATGAGGGTTGTTACACTTCTTTCATCTAGGACTCTTGTCCTCTATCTAGATATCTCGGATTTTGAAATTACCACACCAAACCTCGGCAATATTGCAATCACCTCGGTAAACATGACCCGTCCACATGGCACATCGACCGACATCTCGAAGGCACTTTTAGCCACGTGTGCGTCATCCTCAAAATACTTCCCCACAGTGAATTTTGATGACTCGACTTCCGAAGCTTTGTTTGTAGATGATTTGGTTATGCTTATTACAATGTAATAGATATATATATATATATAGATAGTTATGTTTGGTTCCAACATATAACAAGGGTATCTTGGTCTTTTTGAAGACTCTAACGTTGTATTTGGTTGACAAATTTAGAAAGAAAATTGAAAAGGAAAAAGAAAAAGTGTAAAATTAAGTAAAATGTAGGTATTTTATATTTACATTTAAACCATAATTATTTTATTTTTTTCTCTCACAAAAGTCAAAAAAAATCAAAAAAGTCAAATCAAACAAACTTTTAATTCTAAACTAAAATAGTTAAAAAGTCAAAAAGTCAATTAAAAAACCCAATTGCCAAACGGCAACATAAAATGATGGTTGGGCTGACGTTACAGGGTCAGTCTCACGAAACTGTAATGAGCTCCTTACTAATAAAGAGAATGATCAAAGATGTTCGATTGTGTGAAAGATGGGAGCAGTAATTGAAATTCAATCCAAATCCCTTACGATCTCACAACATAAGGGGTTTAGAGTAGCAAAATAAAACTAAAAAAGAATTGAGTGTCAAGTTATAAACATTAAAGGGGCAACTCAAAATTAAGTTATAGTTAAGGGGAGTTTATTATAATTTACTCTAATAATTATGTAATTTTTTTTCAAGAGTGAAGTTAACAACGTGATTTTATTTCGATTAGTTCTTTGAGTTGTTTGGAGAAAATGGTTAAAAATTAACTTTTTAGTTTTTTTTTGGCTTTTTTTTTAAAAAAATATGTAAAAAAATATATGAGTTGATATTAAAAAGCTCCGTAATTCTCATTCCTGTTCTCTCTAGTAAGCTCTCTCTGTGGACATTTTCACTCTCTCTCTCTCTCTCTCTCTCTCTCTCTTCTTCTAATGGACGGAGGAGCTCAGTACAATCCTCGCACTGTCGAAGAGGTTTTTAGGGATTTCAAAGGTCGACGAGCCGGCATGATCAAAGCTCTCACCACAGGTTACTGACCCTTTTGTTTTTTTGTTTTGTTTTGTTTTGGTTTCAATTACTGGAAATGTGTTTTCTTAATTTTTTACATTTTTTTTTGTTGTTGTTGCAGATGTTGAAGAGTTTTATCAGCAGTGTGATCCTGGTTAGGGTTTTATTTGATATTTTTCTACACGCGTGTGTAATTTTTTAATTTTTTATTATTGTAATTGGTTCAATGCTTGCATGTCGGTTATCTAAAAATAAATTGCTACTGTTCTTGTCTTGTTGTCCTTCTGCATCTATAGTAAGTAGTTCTGTAGTTTATTTTGTATATTGTTGATGCATTGTATATTCTCGTTCTAGTTATTTTGAAGGGAAAATTACACCGGTAGTCTTTGTATTTTAGTCATTGTGTCATTTTGGTTCCTGTAATTTCAATTGACTCAATTTTGACTATGAATTTATGACTTTGTCTCAATTTAATCTAATTAATTATGAAAACATGCACAATAGTGGCAAGTGTCATGCTTTTAAGAACAAAATTATAAACTTGCTTGACATATTTTTTTTTTGAACAGTATAAACTTGCTTGACTTGGGGAGTTAACCTCAACCAATTCAGTGATCATTTTCCATAAAAAATATTACCTTCATTATCATTTGGACCAGATTGACACAAAATCTAAAATTAAGGATCAAAATTGAGTCAATTGAAAGTGTAGGGACCAAAATGATACAAGGGTCAATATATAGGAACTATCGGTGTAGTTTACCCCATTTTGAATTTTGGATATTGTTGCTTGTCTGAATTTTGGATACAATGTAGTGCATTGGGTATTTATTAAAATAAACCGATATTGTATATTGGGTATTTGATGATGCTATGGATTTGTGGGTGCTCAATATTGGGAAATTGGATACCTAAGATTCTCTATGATAAACTTGCCTGTTTCTACTTCTGGATGGCCTAGTATGTGACAAACGTTTTTGTTGTGTACTCTCTCTCTCTTTTTTTTTTTTGGGTATGATGGTTGGAAGTTTGCTAGGTCTCAAAATTTTGATTTTTCTTGCTAACTTTGCATTATAATGCTAAATTGTTTGGTCGTTGAAAGAACTAATTTTATATCTATCTTTTGATTTTAGAGGACAGGACATAAATTTGCTTAATAAAGACATTTATTATTGAAAGATGCGGTCCTGAATATTCTTTCAGAAGCGCCCTTGTTTAGCATTCGATCTGGTGATAAATCATACATTTTTTATATTGTAAAAGGACATAAATGTGCTTTGTTTATTAGCCAGATATCATATGCATCATCTTTATTCCTTTATTTGTGAATTTCTATTTGAAGGTGACTATGAAGCACAGACACGGCAAAATCAGCGCTGTGGCAGTGTCGGACACGGGGACACGCCGGGGACACGTATGGGACACGCCATCTGCCGTGTCCCTTTAATTTAATTGTTTTTCTTGTAGGGGACACGCGTGTCCAGATCTGGACACGGCATGAGACACTGCAAGGAGGGAGAGAAAAGGAGAGAGTGTGAAGGAAGAGAGTGAAGAGAGACAAACCTGTCGAAGATCGAAGCTCCATGAATCCAGTTGAAGATCGAAGCTCCAAGCTCCATCAGTCGATCGAACACCCCAGACGATCGCGATCTGTCTCTCTCAGATCGAAGCTCCAAGCTCCATCAATCGATCGAACACCCCAGACGATCGCGATCTGTCTCTCTCTCTCTTGCCTTCACAATCTCTCTCTCTTTCTCTCTCTCTCGCGATCGCGATCGCGACCTCGACCTCGACCTCGACCCTGTCTCCCTCACTCTCTCTCCTTCTCTCTCTCCCTTGCATCTGTCGTTTTATCTGAGAGGGTTTATTGATTATATAATGACTATTATTATTATATATTATATAATAGTTATTATATATCATATAATATATTTAATACATATTGTAAGATAATATATATTCATGCATATTAATAAAAAAAATAAATAAACAGATGTATATAAAATAAAATAAAAAAATTAATTATTTAAAAAATATAATAAATAAATAAAATAATTAATGTGTATTAAAATAAAAATATTTATAAAAAAATTAAAAAAATTTGCCGTGTCCCCTGCCGTGTCCGCGTCCCTATTTTTTAGAAATTGCCGTGTCCGTGTCCGTGTCCTTATGCGTGTCCGTGTCTGTGTCCATGCTTCATAGGAAGGTGAATAGAGGGCCTTATCATAGACAATGGAATGACAGCTAGGTTATCTATCAGAGAAACTGGTAGTTCAGTGTGTTGAATGCTATGTAAGAAGATGTATATAATTTCTACAGGGATAGATTCCATCTCCGATGCTCATGAATGGAGCTGTGCTAGTTTTCATCTCATTGTAGTCTTACTCTTCCAGGGAAAAGTGATGGATTGGAAGTTGAGCAGGTTGGAAGTTTATTTGTAGACCGGGGCTTAATGCAATTTGACACCTTATAAGGGTATTTAGGCCTCGTTTGGGAAGTAATAGTTTTAGCCTAAAAGTCAAAAAGTTACTAAAAAAATAAAAAAACCTATATAACCTATACAAAAAAGTCAAAGATTTTCTTTTTACTCTACTTTTTGCACATCTTTTTGTAAAAAACAAAAAATTCATTCCAAACATACAAATTTTTTTACCTTATATTTTAGTCAAAAAGTTACTGAAATAGCGTGTTCCCAATTGAGGCCTTAGTTAATGGCTTAAGATGATATGTTATCCATGTGAATTAGTTAAACTTTATGACCATGAAATTTTGAAGGTACTTTTTTTTTCTTTTCAGTCTTCATAGAAACTCCTCATCAGTGGCCACTGTTGATTGAATTTAGACTTCTAATTTGTCATTCACATCATTGGAAATCAGGTGGAACGCATACTTGGTTAACTTTGGTTTGATTTGAACAACCTACAAAGTTTTATGATCTCACCTATATTATTTCTGATATCCCTCCCGGAAAAATGCTCCTCTTGTTTTGTTTCTTTGTAAAAAGTTACTTAAATATTATATACTAGTTGGTAAGTTACCAGATTGTCCATTTTTTCTCGGCACCAATTCCATCATTTTTGTTCTAAAATATAAATACTTTGTTCAAATGTTTTAATTTTTTTGACGGAATTGTTTGGGACATTCTTTAGATTGATATGTATGAATAACATAGTTTCGAGTATTTGTATGAAGGAGAATATTTTTTTTTTTGGATGGTGGAAGGAGGGGGTAAGCACAAGTGAGAATTTAAATTTGGTGTTTTCCTTCTGCTTCTACTTATTCAAATATGTTATATATTTATACAATATTTCTAATATATAAAGTTATTATTACTTAGGGCATGCTTGCATATAATTTAAATTAAATGGAATCTAGAGGAAAGAAATCATTTTTGTTTCTGTCGCTATGTGATACAAGTACAAAACCCTTATTTGCTATCAAAATTGAGCCTTTTATTCATTGGAGTGTCCAATCTGGACATGTATGATAAGTGCATTGATACATATCCTATAGTCCTAATTCAAGCTTTTCCATCTAATGTTGGCATGTGTACCTTGGGTATAAAAGAAGAGTCTATGTGAATCAGGTTTTGTTCATATGTATATAGTTATGTTCCACAGGGAAAATGGTGCAACGGCCGACTTATCAAAATTAGAAAAAACAAACAGAAAAAGTCCAAAGGCTGTGTGCACACGTCACAGTCATGCATGTATGTATGGCACATGATTTGTATTTATCTAAAAAAAAGTGTGTCGTATGGTTTGTCTGTTTTGGCGGTTGTAATTGTGCATATCAATTATGTACTGGCACCTTCAATTATTGTGATTACACTGTCACGTGTGCTTTTCTATTTGTTGGTTTATAATGCCCAAAAGTGATTTTGTTCTTCACATTGATGGAATGTGCTTTCCCATACTAGCTTTCTCTTACTTTTTACTGTAGAACTTTGGGAATTATTTATACTACTGTTTGATGGTTGTTTTTGCATGTATCTGATAAGAATTAATCTCAGGAATTGTAAGGGTGATATTATCTGATAAGAACTTTTGAAATCTTGCTTTGTGATATATCAAACATGTATTTTTTCATCTTTATGTTTGATTGCTCCTACAAGAAAAGAAAGAAAGAAACGGTTTTGGCCTATATGCATCCTATTTCAATATTTTGTTTCGTTTGCAGCTCACCCCAAAATAAAAAACAAATTTAGGAAATAATTTTAATGATGGAAATCTTTTATAGGGAAATAGACAGATATTCTTTTTTGACATTGAGAAAAGAAAAGTGGAATTGGCCATAATGCAAAACAAGATTTTAAAGCTGTTAAAAAAAAAAAAAAAAACGAAAACAAAATTGTGTAACCTTGTCAAACTTCTTTTACAGAGCATGTTAGTCTTGTTTGTGTAGTATGTGTACTTGACTTTTTTAACATTATCATTACCTCAGATAAATATTTTATATATCCTAGTTTTATATTTTTTGTTTTCTCCAAGTTTTGTTCCTTCATGATGTGGACATTTAAAAAATGTTTTTAGACATATTTACTTGAAACTATTTTGATTGTTTTGGGCACCAAACTATCTTCAAGGCATTCTATAAGCTAGTATTGCTTGAAGTTTTAAATTTATTATTTGATTTGTGCAGTGTTGTTACTTTAGTCATTATGAAGAAATGATTGCCCTTATACAACTTTCCATCACTTAGATGTCAGTGTCACTTTCATTTTGTTTGTCTCCTTCCAATCCATGGCTATTATTTTAGTTTCTATGTCGACTAATGTAAATACATGCATATTGTGCAATACAGAGAAGGAAAACCTGTGCTTGTATGGATTTCCAAGTGAGCAATGGGAGGTCAATTTACCTGCTGAAGAAGTGCCTCCAGAACTCCCAGAGCCTGCATTGGGTATTAACTTTGCCCGAGATGGGATGCAGGAAAAGGATTGGTTATCCCTTGTTGCTGTCCACAGTGATGCATGGTTACTTTCTGTCGCCTTCTATTTTGGTGCTAGATTCGGATTTGATAAAGCTGACAGGTACCTATAGTTTTGTTGGATAGTTGCCTTTTGGTGTTGAGCTCTACATGGGTCATGCTCCTTACTAGATAAAAGCAGTGATAACTTGTTGATTGATATAGTGAATTAAAAGAAACTCATTATACTTGAACAACTTATTACCTTATGGTCGCCTCTTCAATTCATGGAGGCTTCATTGCAATGGTGCTGCCAGCTACTTCTAATTTAAGTTGTTTGTTGTCACTCGCTACACATTCTCACCTTCCAAGCTACAAACCAAGATATTCACCCTACCTCTGATTCGAATGGGAGGATATATTTTTGCAACATAGTCCGAAAACTCAAGCAATGCAGCCAACAGTTTAGCTCAAAACTTGGTTGTCTTGGCCAGAGCAAATCTTTAGTTAAGTCACTTTGAAAATTTCCCCCTTTTGTTGGCATTTCAAGTCAACTCATTGCAGTATTGGCTTTATTGCAATTTTGCCTTCCGTTCTTGTGCGATTGTTTTCAGGCCTGACCTTCCAATGGTACATTTCTGTGGCATGGGATGTGTGATAAATGTTGGGAGTCAAGCCTTGCTATGACCTACTGTCAAGTTTTGCCAGCTTACAAGTTAGTGCCACACATATATGTGCTCTAATGAAACTTAATTTGGATGCTAGTTTTTTATTTTGACATGCATGTGTCATTCCTGTCCAGCAAAAATTATTGTTTGCTTGTGTATTTAGTATACTGGCATCAGAAGTGAGGTTAAGTGCAGTTAGTTTCAGCATTGTTATGTCCTGTTGATGATATCTGGAAATTTGGAAATATTTATGCTTTGGGTCTTAGTCTTTCAGCTACATATGGAAATCTTTTAATTGTGTCATAGATGGTCTTTGAATAAAGATTGGATCAAACTTTTGAATGTTTTCTAGTACACAATACGATGTTCTATAATGAATGACGTGTTGCATAAAAAAGTCTTCACTCTTTTTGGTAACTGCTAAAGGAAATTTCAGGTGATGTTCCTTATTAAATACATTGTTATTTTTGAGTCTTCGACATTTGTAGAACATCTGGGCTATTAGAAAGATATTAACTTGGCAAAAATTGTTCATCTAAATGTATTTAGGATTGCATATGAATCCGAATTTTATCTTTGGTGCAGGAAGCGACTTTTCAATATGATAAATGATCTTCCTACAATATTTGAAGTTGTTACTGGTGCTGCAAAGAAACAACAGAAGGAGAAATCTTCAGTCTCAAATCATAGTAGCAACAAATCCAAGTCAAACTCTAAAGTGGTAAAAAGAATTTTTTGTTTGTAATGTCTAAATGTGGTTTTGAAATTTCATGCTGATATGGGTAATGACTGCTAAGCTGGTGCCAAGGATGGCATTAAGTATTGTATTATAGTTTGTTTCTTTCAGACGAGTTTGAATATCACGAGCTTATGGCAATCTAACCTTTTCTGTTCCAGTAATTAATCCTCACCTCTGTTCAAGCATGAAATATGTGTATGTTTCATGGTTAGGTCTTGAACATCAGCTTAGCTACCATAGGCAAAATTAAAGTTAGCTTTGTTGTTTGTGGAGCTGTTATAAGAAAATATGGGAATTGCAAGCCTACTGAGCATGTTGTTCACAAGTTTTGAGATGTGAGGCGATCCTTATATTCATTTTTTGTTCTTTTTCCTGGCAAGCCCTTAGGATATCATTTGTTCATTTTGCTAGTAGCCAAATAGAGAAATTTCATCCTTTCTTTTATAACGGGGTGTCTAGGCTAGCTTGTGTCCACCTGGACTAATCCCGAGGTCCTGAAGTTAACGACCGGGCAAATCTCCAGTGGCCCCTTGGGGTGACTCGAACTCAAGACCATGGATTTTATCCTAAAGTATTTACCGCTTGGCTAACCCCTTGGGGTAGAAATTTCATCCTTTTGGTCTAATTATACATTCTTGTCTTTGTTGGTTTCACAGCGGGGATCCGAATCTCAAACAAAGTTTTCAAAGCCACAGCCGAAAGATGAAGAGGAGGGTTTGGATGAGGAAGATGAAGATGAGCATGGAGAGACCTTGTGTGGGGCGTGTGGGGAGAACTATGCATCGGATGAATTCTGGATCTGTTGTGACATATGTGAGAAGTGGTTCCATGGCAAGTGTGTGAAGATTACCCCGGCTAGGGCTGAGCATATTAAGCAGTACAAGTGCCCATCCTGCAGCAACAAGAGAGCTCGTCCTTGATATAGCTGGGAAGTATGTTTTCTCTTGCTTTGTACGCTTGATTCACTCTGTTAACTGCTTCTCCAGTCTGGTTTTTTTCTTGTTTCTGAGTGGCTATATTTTGCACAACTTGTGAATGTGTGCTTTTATGGTTTGGGGGATCTCACTTTTCATTAGGGTACTGTTCATTGTAGCTTGGCAAAAATATCCCCCTATTTTATTTAAAAGAATTAGTACTAATCTTATTCTGAATTTATTAGGAATTTTAATCTCTCAATCACTTGCATTCTGTAGGCTTTTGTATACTCATGATTTATGTTGATTATTTTGATGTCTCATCAACTTTTATCTTTTTCACTTTGCATCGAATTAAACCACATGCTCCATTGCTTGTGTGGGCACCCGCCACCCAAGTGGGATTCGCTACCACTTAATACCGAGCTACGGGAGATTAGATCTCATAGAGTTCGGTTCCCATTCCCAACCAATGACTATGAGCTTGAAGCTTCCTTCATAACTCCCAGAACTTTGTGCATACCTCATTGCATTATATTCTATTCATTTAATAGTCTTTGGCGTCATTGATGTAACTTTAGTCTCTCCCTTTACTTGGAAAGTTAAAAAAATATCATATAATAATCCTGAAATTGCCATGATATGAAAAAGTATAACAAAAATTATAGGGCATGTTATTGCAAATTATACACATGTTGCTCTCCTGTTCAAAAAAATATGTAGTTTGGTTTAACAGAAGTTATGATCGAGTGCTGTTTACTCATGTTGCATCTCAATAAGAGTATGAAAAAAGCAAATTAAATCAAATTTTGCTTAAAGTTTAGGTTGTTTAATATTTGCATTCATTTGGGAATGTTGTATTGCTCTCTTTTGTTTCTAGCATATCAGGCAACTTGCTTTAGTGTGAAGTACATGCAAAGAGTTGATCTGTTGACATTGACCATGCCATGGCGTGATCCAAGGCTTTGTTTTCAGCTTGATTTTTCAATTAAATTTTTAGCTTGCAGCCTTTGTTCTATTGCAAGTTTTGAACATCTAGGGTAATGTTTTTTTTTGGGTGTGCGTGTGCACGCACGTCCCATGTAATATGTGAATTAGGCTCTTAAATTGTTTTTAGCATTATTATTGTTTAATAGATAGGATCCTAGTATGTTATCCTCTTTGTCATCTCTATTACCATAGTTATGACTCCCATCTTCTGTAATGGTGTTCCCTTTTTGGGGATGAATTATTGGATCGCAATGAATTGGTCCCATTTTAATGGGACTTTTAAGCATCCTCAAAGTAGTGTTTGGATGGCTGTTTTTCTTTTCATATGATCATACTTGTCATTTTATTATTGATTCTCTAATATGCATCTTGTTTTGGGGAAATCTCAAATCAATTGAATAGTTGGGAATTTGTTTTTTGTTTTTTTTAATGGGGTGCAAGTTTGTCTGAAACATATTACATATTGAATTGACTGAGAAACTTCCTTACAAGTTAATAATCACTAGTGATTTGATTTATATGTTTCTTCTGATAGAAAATATGATATTGAAAGAATAGAGCTCATTGCTGGGGTGGCTGATCGATCTGTGAAGTAAAATGTTACAATCATTATAATGTAGACAGAAACCTGGCCTTTGAGATCGCTATGTTCTTTTTATTTAGGTTAAATTACATTGACCTCACCTGAAGTTTGGAGAAAAAATAACAAGTTTTATAGTTTTAGTATTGATGATGCAATAACTTCAATGGAGGATGGGTCAGACTGATCCACGGTTCCAACGGGTTTGCTGACCTTGATGTTCGCGAAGGGTGCCTGCAAAAAGGTCCAGAGGGGGAGATCGTTCCCCAATGGACGCTCCGACCATCAAGTTAGGTTAGGGTATTTGGACTTTAAAGAGAGAGAGAGAGAGAAGGGAAGGGGATAAGAACTTGACCTGTAACATATCTACAAGGCGTCCTTATATTCCCTACTCATCATTTCCTTGTCCATTCTAAGCTGTCTTGTTGACCGAAAGTCTATGGCCTAATTAACATCGTTCATGGTGATTCTGCATACTCCGGCGTGAGAGGTCTTGCTGCATTTAATGCTACAGTGGTCTCATTAAATGGTTGATGTGTAGGTGCAATAATTTTGCATGATCTTTGTCTGCTCATGTGGTTAATTCCCTACTTGACAAGTGTTTGAATGCTATTGGTCCTAGGCCAGCATTGGCTTTTCAAAGTTACTAGGCCTACTGGGCTTTAACACTTGGGCCCTGAGCTGGGCCCCCTTGGGTGCCCATCAGTATCAAGTATAATTACATTAGACTTTCTTAAAATTTAGTTTACATAAAATTTAGGTTTTTTTTTTCATCAATGATTTGTTAGTCTTTTATTTTTTATTTTTTATTTATTTTTAATGGTAATGAAGATCGAAATTAGACTAATAAAGATTAAGCGGTTAAATTTTTAGGGTAAAAAGTACCCTTAGCGTCTTCAAATACTTGAAAGGAAATACAGTTTGGAATAGAAGAGAAAACAAGTAGATCCTCATGAATGAACACTTCGTTGGCAAGCTAGTTTGCGCATTTGTTTCCCTCGTGATAGGTATGGTTAATAGTCGAGGTTCCGAGCTGGTCCAGGAGGTACCTCCAGTCATGAATGAGATTACTAAGTTGATGACAATGGTTGGAGTTATCAAGAATGAGATTTTTCATGATTGTTGCGTCTGATTCCATTTATATTCCTGTGAGATTTAGGTTAAGAGCAAGTTTTAGTCTATCTTGCATGGCCCATAGTTCGGCTTCGATACTGGACGAGTGGCCAATGTTGCGGCAAAAACCAGAAATCCATTTACTGGTCCAATACCACCAGCGATGGCAAGCCTAGGGTTGTTTTTTGAGGCACCATCAATATTGGGTTTGAATTGGCCAAGTTTGAAGGGGAGCCAAGAGATAACAGATGGTGGAGAGGGGTGTGGTTGCTTAGTTGGGGAGAGATGTTGCCATTCGATGGTAGAGGCAATGGCCAAGGAGGGGTTGAGAAAGCGAGGGGGCGGGGGTGAAGAGACACTAAGAATTTTGATTTTTCCAAATGAACCACCAAGAATTTTGAATTTCGAAAATTGATGTGATCATATTTTTTATATTAAATATATATTAATCCTTGTGTCGTCACATTATTTGTGTTAGTTTTAGTGGCTTTAGCCTCATTAAAAGGGAGTCAATGTAATTAGGGCTGCAAATGAACCGAGTTGTTCACGAACAAGCTCGGCTCGGCTCGGCTCGGCTCGTTAAGGGCAGGGCTCGGCTCGGCTCGGCTCGTTAAGGGCAGGGCTCGGCTCGGCTCGGCTCGTGCTCGTTTATCTTTATTTAAATTATATAATAAATATATTATTTATATATTAAATAATATATAAATATATATAAATAATAATATAAATACATTATTTATATATTAAATAATATAAATAATATTAAAAAAAAATTATCGAGCCGAGCCGAGCCGAGCCGAGCTCGAGCTTCATTAATGTTAACGAGTCGAGCCGAGCTCGAGCCTAGTTTCTTATCGAACCGAGTTCGAGCTCAATAAACGAGCTTGATAAGCAAATGAGATGAGATGAGCTGAGCTTGAGCTCAGCAAAGCTCGACTCGATTCAGTTCGGTTCGGTTCGGTTCGTTTGCAACCCTAAATGTAATTATGTTAAAATTGTGTATTTTTTCAAATCTTAGAGGAAGTTAGTGTTTGTTATTAAAAAAAAGAGGGAGTTGGTGTAATTTATCAATTTATTTAAAATAAAATAGCTAGTATACAAATGAATTTATTTCTTGTTTTATGTTAAAATGTAATTACAAGACTTTTATTTTAATTATTTTTTAAAAATGCGATTGCCACATTTTTTATTATATGCATAGAAGCTGTTTTTTTTTTATTTAATTTTTTTTAAATTTTTAAGTACTTGTATTCAACTAATTAGAACGACTAATTGGGAAAAATAATTTTTCTGCTTATGCTAACAAAATTTTGAGTTGCATTTTTTTTTAAACGTATTCAAGTTAGAAAAATTTTATGTTTTGTCTGTATACTAAAAAAAAGAAAAAAGAAAAAAGAAAAAAGTATTTAGTGAAAGAGTCCATTTTGGTAATGGGGTATTTTAGTCAAAAAAAAAAAATTTAAAAATTATTATGAAAAAATCAACAATTCTCTCTATTGTTTTATACATTTTTTTTAATAAAAAATTAAAGAAGCTAATCAAAATAATCACTTTTCGAAACAACAGAGTTTCTAAGATTTTTCTATTAGAAAATTATATTATTCCAATCTAAATCTCGTGAAAGCTTAGATGAGTTGTTTATAATTTATTTTATTTTAAGTCTTTACCAAATTGTTTGATATGATATAACTTAATAAGTAAAAATACCTTAAACAAGTTAAAAAATTTAATTATCTGAAAGATGAGAAAAGGATCTTTTTTGAGTAAGGCTAGAAATCTTAAATATTCTACCAAAAATTTTATCAAATGTGTGTGGGATCTACCCATATAAATTCCACACCTATATAAAACATTTGGTAAAATTTTTAGAACCTCCAACATTTTTCCTTTAAGTGAAGCCTTACCCTCTTTGTAACTCCAGGAGTGAAAGCCAAGACACAGAAATGTAGATATATTAGTAAAACAGTAGGGCCCACTTCTATTCTTATCCATATCCACCCAAATGTTGTGTAGGCCCACACTGTCCCCACCCAACAAACAAATTGCAATGAATTACTCTTTTAATTAAAAAAACAAGTGAAGTTTGGATTACCTAACTTTTTTCCACCCACAAACATGTGCAAAGTCAAGAACGAATTGACAATTTTAATCATTCAATTTGATGGCCAGGATTTATCCAACAAACCAGTCAAGATTCCCAGATTTCCAAATGACCAAAGACTTGTACCCAAATGCTATTCACTTTTTGACTGCAAGGACTCTGGAAAATGCCAAGTGTTAAAAAGAAAAGGAAAAACAGTCCCCAATATTTGGGAGCAATTGCGTACCATACCAAAATCTCCCAACTTTAAATAATCAAAAGTTGTAGATATTGATTTCATTGGGTACCACCACTAATCAATCAAAATATTCTATTTATTTGTTTAAAAAAAACTAATTAACAGTGTTTAATTATAATTATAAATTATAAATTATTTAACTTTTTTTACTAGTTTGTTTGATTAAAATATTGAGATTTTCTATGATAAAAAATAAAAATAAAAATGAAAGAGTTCATTTAATCAAACAAGTTGAACTTTTTCAGAAATTATAAAAGTTATACCAAATTAATTTAAAAACAATGGGCCAATATGGTTCCAAATAAGACATTGAATATTATAAATATTCATATTTCTATATCAACAAAAATTGCAGCCTCCTACATTGATTATCCCCTGGGCAAAGCACAGCACCAGAAGGACAGACACAAAGAAAAATATACACATAAACCACAAAATCAAGAAAAGAAAATTTAAACAGAGATTAAAGAGAAAAAAACCTTAAATTTCTCCCACAGTTTTGCTTCTGTGTGTGTTCATGATGTCAAACCCTCTCGATTCTTAGCAGAGAGGCGTTTCAGAAACTCATAAGTAGTGATCATTGTAGTTGCAGACATGGACATTGAAGCCCACCTAGGTCCCAAACCTCTGTAACAAGCCGTCCACCCACCTTCCCTAACCAAATTCCGAACCGTTGTTCCGATACTCGGTCCCTTCCTCCCATTCTCATCTCCATCCAAGACCTGTAATCTCGTCTTGATTGTATCCAAAGGCATTGTAATCAATGCCGAAACACCACCCGCCATGGCTGCACTAATCCCCTGAACCGCCATTACAGTTTTCGAGTCCGGTCTGAAGGTATTCACACCATTTTCGCTCTTTGAATAGTCTTTTTTACACACATAGTTTCCAATTCCACCCCAAACGAGTCTCTGTGCAACAGAGTACGAAGCCCACCAAACCGCATTTGAAGGAGCATAAGTCAGAATTGAAATCCCAAAACCTCTGTAAAGACCCTTTGGTCCATCCGTGTTGAGAATTTTCCTAAACGCATCGATTCCACCGAGGTATTTACAAGAGGGATTGGGGGTTTTCGGGTTTTTAAGGTTTTGACTGCCCTGAACCATTAGTCTTTGACTCACAACATCAATGGGAGTCCAGATAAGCTGGGCAGCCACGGCAGCACTTACTCCAGCTGCAGCACTAGCAATTGCAGCTGCAGTTGGCTCGGGAAAACCTAATTTTATGATTGTGGATCCAACATTGCTCTTTGTGACTTCGAGAGCAGTCATGTACAATGCTCGAGCTGGAATTGTACCCATCAATGAAGTTCCAAATCCACAATAGAGGCCACGAAAACCCTCGTACCGAACGATCGAAATTGCAGTGTTTATCGAAGAAACTTGAGATTGAGCTACTTGTTGACGAGTTTTCAAAACCACAACAGGGTATAGAGAAGCTGAAACGCCCGAAAACAACGCGGCACCGAGGAAGAAAAACTTTGATTTGTCGAGCATTTTCCAATCGATTTCGGCTGGTAAATGAATTTCTTGTGCGGATTCTTCTTCATCGGCTGTACGTAAATTCATCTTCGCCACTTTCAGAGCTCTGTAATAAACCCTAAATTACAAAAACGAATAAACCCTAAATTACAAAAACGAAAACCTAACCCTAATTTCGAGACTGTACAATCGGGGGATCATTATACAAAGATACGAACACAAGAGTGAACGTATTTCGATAAAATTTACATAACTAGGGTTAAGGATCTAGGGTTTGGCTTTTTTCTTCTTGCGAAGCCAGATCTTGGATCGAACTTTGATTACAGCAAATGGATCCAACATTTCTGGATCGTCCTTAAATTCATCGTCGTCGTCGACCGGTGCATCTCGGAACGACGATCGGAGAAGCTCGCCGGAGACAGTCAGATCGTCAGTCGAGGATTTTTATGAACATGAAACAAAATCGATATATATATATATATAGAGAGAGAGACAGAGAGACAGCGTAGGTATATGGAGTTGGGGCTGGGAGAGAGAGAGAGAGACAAGAGGGAGCTTTCATTTGGGATAGGAAATGCACTCTGTCTAGTAACGCTTCGTCTGACAAATGAGTTGAGTTGAATTTAGGCTATTAAAACGGGTCTTTTTCCGATATAAGCCTTTTTTACATTGTATTTCTAAAATTAGGCCAACTTCTGACGGAATTCTAAAACTAAGTTAAAGCGTCATTACTATTCGCGCTTTTACTGTTAGGAGCGCAAAAGTAGATGAACAGGAAAATCGCTATTACAAATAGCGACTTTGATTAAGAAGTCGCTGTTACAGATAGCGCTTCTAGGGTTAATTTTTTTCCCAAGGAAAACGCTGTTAAGAACAGCGCTTTTTACACAAAACTGTTTTGCCAGAAAACGCTATTTCTAATAGCGATTTTACACAAAATTTTTTTGCCAGAAAAACGCTATTACGAATAGCGATTTTAACATGAATAAACGCTATTACAAATAGCGATTTTAACAGAATTTTTTTTTTGCCCAGCGTTTTTAACATAAACTTTGTTGGAATAAAACGCTATTTTCAAGATAAAACAAAAAAAAAAAAAACATAAAAAATATTTTAAAAAATATATTTACACTGTATATTTTAGTACTTGGCTTTACTAAAGCCATTATCATGTTAAAATATGTTTTTTTTTTTCTTTTGTTTTTGTTTTTGTTTTTGTTTAGAATGTGTAATTCATAAATTTTACATAATATGAAAAAAAACCTCTTTTCATATATTAATTTTACATACTATTTTTCATATATATAATTTCAAAATTATATTCATGTAGATATTATTAAGCCAATCATGTTCATTTATTTGGCTTTACTGAAGCCGTTGTCATGTTACATTTTTCATTTTTTCCTTTGTCTTTGTTTTGATTTAGAAAATGTAATTAAATTTTTTTTTTCGTCTTCACTAAAGTTGTTTTCATGTAAATTTTTTTTTTGCTTATTGTTTTGTGTTTGTTTTGGGTTAGAAGGTGATAATGTAATTAATAATTTTTTTTTTCGCTTTACTAAAGTCGTTTTCATGTAAATTTTTTTTTTCTTTTGTCTTTGTTTTGGGTTGGAAAGTGTTATTTAGAAAATTATTTTGGCTTTACGAAAGCCGTTTTCATTTAAACATACATATATATTTATTCTTTTGTTTTGGGTTAGAAGGTGAGAATGTAATTCAGAAAATCAGTTTAGTAAACCAGTTTAGTAAAACCGTTTTGTACCCGTTTTCATTTATAAAATTTATTTTTATCGTCTTTGTTATGGGTTAGAATGTGATATGCATGCTGTACAGTTCGAAGCACACCCACACACTGTGCAACTCGACGAGCAACGACGAAGGGTGAGACGCGAAGACCACCGCGGAGTAGGCCAAGAAGACAAAGGCCACAGCGAGAGCTTCTAAAATAAATTTTCTCAACATTTTTGTAATAATACTTAATACATAATATACGAAGTCAGTACTTTACAAAATACTCATACGGGCATGAAAACAACATAACTGAAGTTGCAAATGTAATAGTTTTCAGTTACATAGGTAGTACAGACATAATTCTCCCACAAAAATACATTATGGACACCATGAACTGAACACACATTACATACATCCTGGACACTCTTAACTGAACACACAATACATAAACATAACAGTTAGATAGACAAACACCTAATTCATGACCTAATATTGCATATTAATAGCCGTAACATTTGACAGACACAATACATAAACATAAACTTAAACATAAACATAACATAACATAACAGTTATACTTACTCTAACACAGACATTACATATTAATGCAAGTTGTTATATTGCCGAAGTGAAGACATTAACACCTAATTCGCGCTTAAATCGGCAGGTGGCTCAGAGTCTGAACAATCCGAAAGCTCAGCGTCAGAGACAAGTTCATGATTCTCTATGATAGCCTTGATAGCCGCAACATTTGGTTCTGTTTGTTCTTCTGGGCATCCTTCTTAAGTATGAGTAGCTGCATATCGCGGGCCAATCTACGACCCATTTGAGAAATCTCACGTTGTATTGTTTGACATAGTCGATCAACATTATCAGGATCTTCCTTTTGGATCTCAACAGAACGTGCTTTTGGCACCTTCAGTCGTCTTTCCCGACATCACGATCGTCGCCATTGATTACTTCACCAAGTGGGTAGAGGCAGAATCCCTTGCCACCATTACCGAGCAGAACACAACCAAGTTCATCTGGCAGTCGATCGTTTGCAGATTTGGCATCCCTTAGGCCATCGTCTCCGACAACGGCAAACAATTTGACAACGCCAAGTACAGGAAGTTCTGTGCCAACCTCCAAATTTAACCATGTTTCTCTTCCCCCGGTCATCCCCAGGCCAATGGCCAAGTCGAGGTCACCAACCGTTCTCTCCTGAAGATCATCAAAACTAAGCTCGAAGTTGTTAAAGGACTTTGGGCTGAGGAACTACCGAATGTACTCTAGGCTTACCGAACTACAACTCGGACTCTCACTGGGGAAACCCCTTTTCGCTTAACATACGGCGCTGAGGCGGTTATTCCAGTAGAAGTCGGTCTGCCTACCTCCAGGGTTTTACATCTGGATCCAGCACAAACCGAAGAGCTCCGTCGGGTAAACCTGGACCTAATCGAAGAACTCAGAGAGACCATCGCTATCAGACTGGCCTCATACCAACAGAAAATGAGAACACACTACAACCAGAAAGTCCGACCAAGGGAGTTCGCTGTAGGGGACCTTGTCTTGAGAGAAGCAACTCTTGCCACCAAAAATCCGACTGAGGGTAAACTGGCAGCCAAATGGGAGGGACCTTACGTTGTGAAAGCCAGACCACGTCCGGGCACCTACCGACTTCAGGATATGTAAGGTCGAGACCTCCCCCACCCATGGAACGCCGAACACCTGAAACATTACTTTCAATAAGCTCCTACTTTTGTATCGCTCAGTTATTGTATTTTTTTTTCGGCAAATTTACACATTCTTGATATCTCCTTACGTAATGTAACTTTTTAATTAACTGGGTTACACTTCCCCTGCCATCAATTATGTATCTCAGTTATTTGTATGATGTCTCAATGACGTTTTGATTACAACACTCATGCAAAGCCTCAGCCAGACTGAGCATCATAAAGCCTCAGTCAGACTGAGCATAAAAAAGCCTCAGCTAGACTGAGCATCATAAAGCTTCGTCCAGACTGAGCATCAAAAAGCCTCAGCCAGATTGAGCATCATAAAGCTTCGTCCAGACTGAGCATCAAAAAGCCTCAGCCAGACTGAGCATCATAAAGCCTCAGACAGACTGAGCATCAAAAAGCTTCAGCCAGACTGTACATCAAAAAGCCTCAGCCAGACTGAGCATCAAAAAGCCTCAGCTAGACTGAGCATGAAGCACTCGGCCATACCAAGCCTCAGCCAGCCTAAGCATCACAAGTCTCAACCGGACCGAGCGCCACAATTTCAGGTTCAGACTGAGTTCCTTACGATGTCAGTGAATCATAGTTTAGCCCCAACTGAGCACGCGTGCAGGGCTCGGTCAAAGCCATCTATGCAAACTTCATGCTTGTGGAATTAGTAGACACACTTGGTCACAATTCCAAGTCCAAGTCTTTATACCACTCTTTGCTTAGTCAAATTCCAAAGACGTTCTTACACGTTTTCTTTACAAGTCAGGTTATTTTCTTACAAGCCAAGCCTCACTCCAATAAACCACTAATCTACTTCAGCAGTGTGGCAAACACAAACTTATAATTTTATTACATTTTAAATTTCACTGTGCATTGAGGAGTTCTTACCTTTACTCTGCATTGAGTCTTTATTACAAGTTCAATTTTACTCTACATTGAGGAGTTCTTAACTTCACTCTGCATTGAGTTTTTATTACAACTTCAACTTCACTTTACACTGAGGAGTTCTTACATTTAGTTCTTATTACAAGTTTAACTTCACTTTGCACTTCACAATGAGTTATACACCCGTTTCGCCCACGCCTCATTCATTTCAGCTGCACAAGCACAGACAATCAAACGAAAACATAATTGCCATTTTATTTATTCAGAAATTTGTACATGAGTACATTACAGCCATTCAAAAAAAACAAAAAAAAAAAAAACAAAAAAAAACTCTCTTAAGTACAAACTTTTTTCACTTCATTCATTCCTCCTCACTGGAGACAAGGTCTTCTTCTTCAATACCCTCATCCAGGGGGGTCTGGGCCACATCATCTTCACCAATTGTTACACTACTGAGGTCTAAGTCTGGGAACAGTTCTTCAGCCCTACGCTTGAACATTTTCCAGCCACTATCCCAGAACTCAGCCATTTCGTGTTTATAGAGGTTTGACTGCTGGAAGCTCTCAATCACTTCCGCTTCAGTTCTGCCCCCAGCGGTCGTCCTCGATGGGCCCAGCCCCCCAAACTCCTCCCTCGCCAAGCTGCTGGCGACCACAGCATCCACTGCCATCTGAAACTCAGCAGACCCCTTGAATTGATCCACTGCTGCCACATACAGATCGGGGAAAGCCGCCCTTTCAGAGGTTGCTTTCGCCTTTTCTTCGTCCAGCTCCCTCTGCAGAGTCGCCGTTTCAAAGGCTGCCTTTGCCCTCTCTTCCTCTCACTCCTTCTTCAGGGACGCCCTTTCAGCAGTTGCTGTGGCTCTCTTTGCCTCCAACTCCTTCTGAAGGCTCTCCCTCTCTTCCAGTGCCTTTGCACGCTCGCCCTCCAGCTCCTTCTGCAGATCGCTAATCTTCACGTCTGCCTCATCCTTCTGGCTGACCAGCTCTTCATTACTGCTCATCGCCTCTTCATGCCGTTCGACCGCGACCGCGCAGGCTTTTTGAGCATCATCCAATCTCTTCTGCTCGCCAGCCAGTTGGAACTCGAGCGACACAACCTGGCGGCGTGTGTTCTCCAGCTCCACCTTGACCGTTTGCAGCTCAGCGTGGGCACTCTCCCAGTTTGCGCTCTCCCTCTTCAACCTTTCAAGTTGAGTCTTGGCCTCATCTGTCTTGAGCTTTGCAGCCCCAACCTTCCTCAGCAGAGCCCTTACTAAGGTGGT